GAGCATGTAAAAACTTGTGGAAAGCATGTGTAGAACATCACACATTCTTCCGTTTGGACAGACCACTTCCACCTCAAAAGAATTTTTTTGCACATTATTTTACATTAGGTTCAAAATTTCGGTACTGGTAAGTATTATATTTGTATTAAGGTTTTATTGTTGGATTTCTTTCTCCCTTTAAAATAAATATCAAAGACTCATTGTTACTCACTTGTACCTACAGAGTCAAAATCTCCATAGCTTGTAACCTCTATGTCTTATTAATAAGAAATTCTATAGATTCTTGTGACATATGTCAGGTGTAAGAAGCATATTTCATTGACTATATTGCAGGCCGTCCTATTCTAAAGTAAATCAGCCCCATTTATTTACAATCTGGACAGATGTTACAATTTCCATTGTTTCTTTATTAACTAATTATATGAAAACTGTCCTGTGTTCAAGATATATTTATTTTATTTTTTTGTAAAAACCAAGATTTCTTCTGCACGAATATAGTTACTTTGTATTATTTTTTGAGTCGCCAAATCCTTTATTGTAAAGAATTCAAGACAACCAGTAAGTAAAATCAGATTTAGTTACTGAACAATAACCCCAGATTCCTTTTCCTAAAATTGTCTTATTTGAAATAATTTTTATTTTGAAATGGATACAAAATGGGATACAGTTTGACATTTCAGTTATATGCAACATGTAATAATCACCTCGGGATAATTTAGTTATCCATCACTTCAGACATTTATTATTTCTTTGTGTTGACAATAGTCAAAATCCTCTCTTCCAGTTATTTTGAAATTTACAATTAAATGTTGTCAATCATAGTTATTCTACTCTGCTGTATAGAATATTAGACAGTCTTCCTTCTATTCAGTTATACCCTTCATTTTATTTTTTTAATAGCTTTTATTTCTTACTGAAGTTAACAGTCTTCGGGGAGTAACTAAATTTAAGGATGCTCTGATTACTCTTACCTATAGAATTCTAAATAGGCTCATAAAAGCTAATTTTAAAGTGAAATCTGTTGCCGGGTGTGGTGGTGCACACCTGTAATCCCAGCACTTGGGAGGCTGAGGCAGGAGGATCACTGTGAGTTCAAGACCAGCCTGGGCTACATAGTGAGTTCCAGGTCAGTATCAACTACATAGTGAGACCATGTCTCAAAAAAACAAAAACAAATAAAGTGAAACCTGTTAAAGACTCATTAGAAAAGTTGATATCGGGCTGGGGATTTAGCTCAGTGATTCAGGCACCTGCCTTGTAAGCGCAAGGACCCAAGTTCAATCCCCAGTACCAAAAGAAAAAAAGAAAAGGAAGGGAGGGAGGGAGGGAGGGAAAGAGAGAGAGAGAGAGAGAAAAGGTGGTATCGTGTAGTAAGGAAAGTATTTTTTTTTTTATTTCATTTGCAATATAAGGATTTTCTCCATCTTTTAAAAGTAAAACCCTTGGGCTGAGGATATAGCTCAGTGGCACTGCCTCTACCTTGCAAATGCAAGGTCCCGAGTTTGATCCCCAGTACCAAAACAAAAAGTAAAATCTTTGACTACTCTCTATTAGGTTAATTCATGTTATATATTCATGAGAAAAGGAATTAAATATATCTCAAGAAGGATTTATATCATAAACTTCAAACATTTATAAACGCTCAATTTGTAATCTCAATAAAAAGAATGGCTTGGAGGTTAGTACAGGATATATCACTAAAAATGTTTGCCCTTTACCCCAAGAAAAGTAGTAAAGGGAGCATAAAAGTTCAGTAGTGATAATTAAATAAAATTAGGAAAAATAACAATAAAGCACAGTAGATTAAGTGACGCGATATCAAGTTTTAACTTTCTTGCTTTCTTAGAAGAAGTATTGAGAAAAGTAATATAATGTTACTTGGAAATTTAAAGGTAAATAGACTAAGGAAAGGAATCAGATCAGTGATAAAAGTTAAAGAAAGCCTTACCTAACCGTGGTAAGTTTCAGCAAGAACAGCGGAAGTCTCTAAAACTAGTGAAATGAGAGACCAACACAAACCTTAAGGGAATTCCTTCAGTGAATTCAATTCCTAAGTGACCACTGTGGTAATTACACATGAGCTTCTCTTACCTTCTGATAACATGCCTTCTTTTTTTCTGTCCTTGCAGTTGTATGAAAAGTTGCAGTCTTTCAATTCCTAAGTGACCACTGTGGTAATTACACATGAGCTTCTCTTACCTTCTGATAACATGCTTTCTTTTTTTCTGTCCTTGCAGTTACTGTTACTCAGCATAATTATTTCAAGATTTATCTATGTTGCTGTGTGTATTGATAGTTCATTCTTTTGTTGCAGAATAGTATTCCACATACTGTGTGTGTGTGTGTGTGTGTGACTGAATTGTTGATAAATATCAAATGGGGTTTTTTAAGGGATCTATTACAAATAACACTATTATGAATATGCATATGGAAGTCTTTGTGTTAACATTTGCTTTAAGTTTCTTGAATAAACATGAATTGGAATGGTTAGGTCATATGGTAGATACATGTTTAACTTTGTAAGAAACTGCCAAACATTTTTTCAAAGCTATTGTACCATTTATATACTCTCGTGCAGTCCAGCAGAGATCCAGCTCAGTGCTGAAGATGTAGCTCATCAATAGAGCACTTTCCTGGCACACTGAAGGCTTTCAGCCCTGCCATCTTCACATCTTCATCAGCATTGCTGTTATCTTTTCATAATGTACCAGTGTCTTTTGAAGAGCAGAGTTTTCGAACTTTGATCAAGGTCACTATACCAGTGTGTTCTTCTATGAAACTTTTGTTGTATCTAAGAAATCTTTGCTATTTCAAGGTCACAGAGATTTACTCCTGTTTTCTTCTAAGAGTTTTATAGTTTCAGATCTTACATTTAAGTCCATTATCCATTTGGGTATATTTCTTATATTTGGTGTGAATTATGAATTGAAGTTCACTTTTATGGCCAGTGGATATCTATCCATTATATCTTTGCACCTTCGTTAAATATCAGTTGTTCACATTTGTGTGTTCTTCTCTCTGAACTTCATGTCTTAAGTCCTGTAGTAGTAGTGCTCTAACTTTGCTCTTCCTTTTAAAAGTTGTTTTAAGTGTTCTGGGACTTCTGCATTTCTATATAAATTTTAGAATTAAATTCCTACAAAAATTCCTCTATGCCTGGAAGCAAGTATCATTTTGATTCCCAAACCAGGGAAAGATACAACTAAAAAGGAGAACTACAGACCAATCTCCTTAATGAATATAGACGCAAAAATCCTTAATAAGATACTAGCAAACAGAATACAGAGGATTATCAAGAAGATCATCCATCCTGACCAAGTTGGATTTGTTCCAGAGATGCAAGGGTGGTTCAATATACGAAAGTCAATAAATGTAATACATTATATTAACAAAGTCGAGGACAAAAACCATATGATCCTCTCAATAGATGCAGAAAAAGCATTTGATAAAATTCAACACCCATTCATGACAAAAACCCTGCAAAAAATCGGAATAGATGGTCTATACCTCAATTTAATAAAGGCTATCTATGAAAAACCATCAGCCAACATCATATTAAATGGCCAAAAACTGAAAACCTTCATGTTAAAATCAGGAACAAGACAAGGATGCCCATTATCACGACTCCTCTTCAATATAGTTCTGGAAACATTAGCCACAGCAATTAGACAAGAGAAAGAAATTAAAGCAATAAAGATAGGAAAGGAAGAAGTTAAAGTGTCATTATTTGCTGATGATGTGATACTCTACATTGAAGACCCAAAAAACTCCACCAAAAGACTTCTAGACTTAATTGACAGATTCAGTAGAGTATCGGGATACAAGGTGAATACCCAAAAATCAATAGCCTTCTTATACACAAATAACAGACTCATGGAGAGAGAAATAAGGGAAAAAATTCCTTTTACAATAGCATCCAAAAAAATGAAATATCTAGGAATCAGTCTAACAAAAGAAGCAAAAGATCTCTACACTGAAAACTATAGCACTCTGAAAAAAGAGATTGAAGAGGATATAAAAAAATGGAAAGATATCCCCTGCTCCTGGGTAGGAAGAATCAACATAGTGAAAATGGCCATACTACCGAAACTGCTATATACATTCAATGCAATGCCAATTGAAATTCCAACACTATATTTCACAGAACTAGAAAAAAGAATCCAAAAATTCATTTGGAACCACAAGAGACCTAGAATAGCAAAAGCCATTATAGGCAACAGTCACATGGCACCAGGTGTAACAATTCCCAATTTGAAACTATACTACAAAGCCACTGTGATAAAATCAGCATGGTACTGGCAAAGAAATAGGCCTGAGGATCAATGGAACAGACTGGAAGACACAAAAACAAATGCAGATGTACTCAGCTACCTCATCTTCGACAAAGGAGCTCACCATCCTCAGTGGAGGAAAGATAGCCTCTTTAATAAATGGTGTTGGAAAAACTGGATATCAACCTGTCACAGATTAAAATTAGACCCTTATCTTTCGCCATGCACTAAATTAAAATCCAAATGGATTAAAGATCTAAATATTAAAACAGAAACATTAAACTTGCTGGAAGGTAAGTTAGGCAGAACTCTGGAAGACATTGGTATAGGAAAAGACTTTATGAACGAATCCTCAGTAGCACGGGAACTAGCAGATAGAATCAACAACTGGGATCTTATCTTACTAAAAAGCTTCTGTACTTCAAAAGAAACCATCAGCAGAACTAAGAGACAATCTACAGTGTGGGAAAAAATTTTTACCAGCTGTTCCTCAGACAAAGGACTATTATCTAGAATATATAAAGAACTCAAAACAATCAGCCCCCCAAATAAAGACCTGATTCAAAAATGGGCATCCGAAATGAACAGACATTTCTCAGACAAAGTAAAAGCAGTAAGTAAATATATGAGAAAATGTTCCACATCACTGATCATTCGAGAGATGCAGATGAAAACAACACTGAGATTCCACCTCACCCCACAAAGAATGGCTGCTATCAAGAAATCACACAATAACAAATGTTGGCGGGGTTGTGGGGAGAAAGGAACCTTTCTCCACTGTTGGTGGGAGTGCAGACTGGTGCAACCACTATGGAAATCAATGTGGAGATACCTCAAAGAGCTTGGACTGGAGGTTCCATTTGACCCAGCCATCCCTCTGCTGGGTATCTTTCCAAGAGAACTAAAAGAATCATATCACAGAGAAGTATGCGCACCCATGTTTATAGCGGCACAGTTTGTAATAGCTAAATCTTGGAAACAGTCCATTTGCCCATCCGTTGGAAACTGGATAAAGAAGATGTGGTTTTTCTATAAAATGGAATATTACTCAGCCATAAAGAACGAGAAAATAGATTCATTCATAGGAAAATGGATACATATTGAAGATATACTCCTAAGTGAAATAAATAAGTCACACATGTGTAAATACCAAATAGTTTCCCTGGTGTGAATAATCTGCAATAATACATAAGATCCTAATAAGATTACTAACATTTAGAAATGGAAAGAAAGGAGCTAAAGGTGTAGGGAAGATGGGATGGGTATAGGAAGGGTAATAAGGGAAAGAAAAAAATGTGAGATAATGAAAAGATGAAAATAAAGTGTTTGTAGATGGGGAGGGGAGGAGGGGTGAAGGGAGGGCAGGGGTAAGGGGAAAAAATGTGAATCAAGACTTGTCATGTAGAGGTACAAGATCCCAACAATGAATGTAACTGTACTGTATCCCTAAAATGTACCAATAAACTCAATTAAAGCTGGAAAAAAAAGTCCTCTATGGTTGTAATTGCAATTATTCTGAATCTATACAAAAATATTTGAGGATTGATACCTTAAAAATATTGACCTTCTAATTATGAGGCTCCTATGCATTTTCCTTTAAGTCTTTTTTTATTTCCGTAGTGTTTGCGTTTTTTGGTTTATAGGCCTTTCATTTCTTTGTCATATTTAGCTGTTTCATTTTTCTATAAATGGTATTTTTAAATTTTTAACTTTGCTCATTGTCTTTAGATGGAATTGCTATTGATTTTTTTTTTTTTTTTTTTTTTTTTTTTTTTTTTTTGGTGCCGGGGTTTGAACTCGGGTGCTTGTGCTTGCAAGGCAGGCCACCGAACCGCTGAGCTGAATCCCCGGCCCACTATTGATTTTTAAATATTGGTCTTGTTTCCTGAAACTTGCTAAACTCACTTATTTTAGGAGTTTTTTAATTGCTTACAACAGATTTTTTACCTGGAGTAGTGATGGTGAACCTTTTGGACTTTTCAGTGATACAAACAGCCCACCGCAGCATGCATCGCATAGGTTCCTTACCACCGACCTAGAGAATACAGTCATAGTTCATTTCTAATCTGATGCTTTTTATTTATTTTTATTTTTGTATTGATTTAGCTAAACCCCATTTCAGAGCTGAGTAGTGTTGCATACAAGTCATGAGAGCAGAAATTCTTGCTCCTTATAGTATAGAAAGCATAGTCTTTCACTCTTAAGTATGATGTTGCTTATAGGCTTTCTACAGATGCTCTGTGTAATGCATATTGAGGAAGTTTCCTCAGTTTCTTACTTGCTGCAAGTGTTCATTAGGATTGCAAATTGATTTTTTTTAAGCTCTTTCCCTGCAAATGTTGAGATGATTATATGGTTTTCTTTATAGTTTGTTAATAAGATGAATTTCAGTGTGAACATTGACAGTGAAACCAACCTTCTGTTCTTAAGGTCAATCTCACTTGTTCTGAAATCCTTTTAAATACTCTCTGATTCAACCTGCTAAAGTTTTGTTTAGAATTTTGCAGGTATTGGTCTGTAGTTACCTTTCTTTTAATGACATTGTCTGGTTTTGGTGTTAGAGTAATATTGGCCTTATTGAAAGAATTGGGAAATTTGCTTTATGGAAGAGTTTGCATAGTAATGGTGTTATTTCCTTTTCAATGTTTGGTAGAATTTACCAATTCTTTTGGGGCAGTTTTAGATGTAGAAATATGTTCAGATTTTTTAATTGATAAGGCAATTTGGATTTTCTCTTTCTGTCTGACCAAGAAGAAAGCTAATTTGTGTCTTTTAACAGATTTTTGTTCCATTTCAACTAAGTTGTTGATTTTAATGACATTAAGTTTATAATATTATATTTCTTATTATCATTTTAATATCTTCAGTAAGAAATGTTACCCTTCTCATTTCTCTTCTTTTCTTTTTGTTTTGTTTTGCTTTTTGTTGCCAGGGATTGAACTTGGGAACTTGCACTTACAAGGCAGGCAGTGGAACCACTGAGCTAAATCCCCAGCCCTGCCTTTCTCATTTTTGTTAACATGTTATCTTTTCTCTTTTTTTTTTTTCCCGTGATCACTCTTGCTAAGTTTATCAGATTGGATTAAATATTTTAAACAATATATATGTCACATGTAACTTTTATTCTGGCTTACATAGCTTTTGGGTCACCCTTTTCTGCCAAAGCCTGAAAGAAAAAAAAAAAATTTCCAAAAAAATGTTAAACTCAACAAGGCTACCATTCAAGTCTCAATCAACATTAGAGGTGTTACTGTGCAAAACCTCAGGTAATATAAGGCCTCTGTACCCTTGAAAAATATCTACTTAATAGTAAAATTAAACCAACAAATAAAAATGACTCAAGGAGAGTCCTGGTAAAACACACTGATAATAAAGATTCACTCAATTAAACATAGAATTAATCTTTGGCACCTGTAAGTATGATGACTAGGGAATAGAATTACAATGGCATAAACCTTAAGAAAAGGTAAAATAAGTAATGTAACTTTTTAAAGGGGGAATAAACGGGAGAAATATTTGAATCCCTATTAACAAAATGTGATATATGTATTTGCAACTTAAGTGAAAACCTCTTAAGGTTTTCCTAATCTTTTTGCTTTCTCTTGCTCCTTTTTTTTTTTTAAACAGCATTCTTTTTCTGTCCCTGTGTCTGTTTTTCTCAGTTCAGAGGAAATCAGTTTACTTTTTTTATCATTTAAAGTGTCATCTGGGTGTACATGGTGATTGTGTGCCTGTGGTGTTAACTATTCAGTAGGCTGTGGCAGGAGGCTCCCTTGATCTTGGGTGTTTGAGACCAGCCTGGGCAAAATGTTGAGATTCCCCACTCAAAAATAAATAAATAAATAAAAGTGGCATATATCATAATTGTATTGTGATAGATTATGCCTGTATTTCTAGCTTTTTCAATGTGTATATATAAGGAATTTCAAAATGATATTTACCTGTTTATACTGATGATAATTTCTTAGGGATAATAATTTCTTAGGGGCTTAATAATAATAGTTTTTGTTCTTCCTGCATTGCTTGACTGGCTTTGTGAGGGGTAATAAACAATTGGTACTTTCCCATTGCTCTGAAGACAAGTATCTGGATGTGAGGGCAATCTGGCTGTGGCATCTGTCAACCCATTATCACCGGGGTTGATTTTGGCTGATCTGGCTGGCTAGGCAGGTGCCCCCTTCCTCCCTCACTACTCTGAAGCTGCATTCTTGGTCGATAGAGGAGGACAGTTTCCTTGGCTAAGGGTATACAAGTAGCTGAGCTCCCCTGCTAGAACCTCCAAATGAGCTGTCACTGTCAAAAGACAAGTACTGTCAGAATTTGGTGTGCTGAGACAGGTATGGTTTTGTATTTTATTCTGTTGATATTAAACCCTGAAGACTAGGTTATGAGCAATATTCAATCAATGTAAACCTTTTGCTTTTAATTGCTCCTTTTTGTGAAATTCACTTTGATACCCCAACCTTTTGAGTAACAGTGTTTTATTTAAATTCACTCCACTAGAAAATTATGAGTCAATTAGAGAAGCAACAAACTCTTGATATTTCAAACAAATTTAGTTGAGGGAAATTGTTACACCATTGTTAGAAAGGCTGTATTCAGTCCCCATAATTTTTTTTTTTGGTACTGGGGATCAAACTCAGGACCTTGCACTTGGCAGCCAGGCGACACTAAGCTAAATTCGCACCCACCCCCAACATTTTTGCCCCTAATTGCCTTTTATTTAACCAGTCGTCATACCTGATCATTAGTAGAAAGAGAACATTCCAAATAAAGTACACTTCTTCAAGATCTCCCATGTTTCAGCCCCTTCACTAAGAATAGTAGAGACACTATGTAAATACAAGACTTGTTTGGGAAGAAATGACATTTATTTTTGACTTTAGAAAAGCATATTGCTGTAGGATATAACACAGAAGAAATTCCTCATGGAGAATTACTTTTCTTGTACTTATTTTCAGTATAAAAGTATCAGAAAATGAAATGTCTGTGGAAGAATTATAATTAAGCTTCATCCATCTAGGTAGAACTGGAATATACTCCATTCTTTCCTTTTTATTCTGCTTCCCTTTTTTCCCCTCCTGCAGATAGGGTTGCAATCTATGGTCCAAGCTGGCCTTGAACGTATAATCCTGCCTCAGCCTCCTGGGAGATAGGGTTATGGGCATGTGCCCCCATGCCCACCTTGCCTCACTCCCTTCCTTTTGTTTTTTTAGAAATGTCTTATCTCTTACAAAGTTGTAACATAATCATGTTGTGTGTTCTCACGTTATTCTTTTTTAAATATTATACATATTTGTGTATTTCAGTGGGAGAACTGAAGTCCAGTCAGTTCAGTATGGCAAAGAAAAGGCAAATAAAGACAGAGTATTTGCAAGGTAAGCCAATTCCGTTTCAGGATCTGCATTTTAGAAAGGGATTAAAATTATTAAAAAATTTCTGTAAATTATTGTAGAACTGTCACATAATCCTTTTCTTTGATTACACAATAAATGGTATTGAGGGAATGATAAATAAGTTTGCCTGATTTATTTTTTAAAATACATAAACATTACAAATATACCAAGTATTTTAGTTTTGATAGGCTAAATAAGGTGTCATATTATTAATATAACATTTTATTAGAAGATTTATGACCTTTTAAAACATTTTTAAGAAATATAATCATGTATTTCACATGCTATCCAACCTGTTTACATATTTACTTATATTGTTGTGAGACCAGATAAGTTGCTTTTGATTTGTTTGCAGTTTATTATCTTCATTTTTTTTTAGGGTCTGTTAGAGCCATTGTGCTTTTTAATAAGTGAATTGACACATTTTCAAAAAGTTTAGCTAGTTTTAAGAGCAAGGATAGAGAATAGATTATTAAATGAAGACTGGATACCCAGACTAATGAGAAGTTCATTGTGATAATCTAAGTAAAAATCACAAAGACATGAACTACAACACTGACAATGGGAAGGATCTAATAAAAATTGACAGCCAGTTAGAGTTGTATTAGATACAAGCATTTCCTTAAAGAGTTATATGCTTTGTGTCTGCTACTATTAGAGGCTTCAAATTTTAATAATAGAACTAAAGATTTTTTGCTCTTAGTTTTATTTTGTTTAATTTTGCTGTTAGGGGCTGGGGATGTAGCTCAGTGGTAGAGCACTCCCCTAGCATGTGCAGAGCCCTGGGTTCAGACCCCAATAGTACAAAAAAAAAAAAAAAAAAAAAAAAAAAAAAAAGAAAGAGGTAGGGGATCCTAAACTTCGATGTTAGAATTTATCCAGAAGTCCTTCTTATTTTGTATTGCTGGAGGAAAAGGAGTTTTGTGTTTTGTGTTTTTTAAAAATTCCCCCCCAAAATGAAAATGACTTAATCACTTATTTTTCTAGTAATAAGAGTAATGGGGACTGGGGATTTAGCTCAGTCCATTCTAATTTGTATGTGAATAAGCTACTCAATGGACCACTTTACAAAATGCCTTGATGTGAGAAGAATTCAGCAGGTTAGGGCTGTAGCATTTTGCCCTGATAAATTTAATTGAATTTGAATGATATAATTTATTTCAGCATTTCTTCAAAATGTTTTGAAATCAGTTTATTGTATCTTGTTTTTAGATTTATGAGGGGAGATTATCTGTACTAAATATAAATATTAGTGGCACACTACTGCTTTGATTATTAGGAAGGGAGAAAATCAACACAGAAATGCTTATCCTAGTACATAAGACTACTGAAATTACTCAAAATCTTCCCTTTTACGGTGTTAGATACCTTTTTTTTCCAATTAGATATTGCTAAAAACCTGTTGAAAGATAAAATGTATAGTAAAGGTTAACGTGAAGTTGTTTTCTTTCACTTTCTCTTGAGAAGTAATTTACTTCCTCTTTATTCTAATTTTAAAAATATTACACTCTGTATCTTTCTTTATTATGTTTTGTTTTGTTTTGTTTTTCCCTTCTCAGAACAGAACTGTACTGGGAATTGAACCCAGGGCCTTTGCATTGAGCTATATACCTAGCTGCCCTGCCTACTTTTTTGAGAGGATCTTTTGATGCCTGCCTGACTTCTCCTAGTTCTTAGTGCATATTTGCAACACATATCTCAAGACTTTTAAATTCATAGTGTTTTTCTGTTTCTTAGCGCTATAATTGCACTATAGCAATATATTACAAATTTTTCATTTCTTCCTAACAATAAGCTTAATTTTCTTCTTACTTGATATTTATTGAAAACAGTAATGTGACTAGTTGTACTGTAATATGTCTGTGAGTACCAAATCATAGTTGTACTTACATGTTAAGGTTAATATCACGCATAAAATTTTTTATAAGTCTTGTTTTAATACTTTTGGTCAGTCAAATTTTAGAAGTTATAACTGTTTTTAATTGTTCATTTTGTTTATTAATGTGAAGTTGATCAGTTTATTTAATAAAATAAATTTGCTTTGTTGATACATAATAAATCTAGAATTTCAATATGATAAGAATGTCTTTATTCCTTCAAATTTTCTGAAATTATATGAATTGCCCTTAAATTAGTCATCAATTGAGAAGGGGTTTTGATGGTTTTAATGATCTCTGTCTGGAAGTTTAAGCCTTTCTGGGATTGCTTTTCTAAGAAATTAGCATCTTGTTGTGATGCTAATTCTATCTATCAAAACTCTGATAGTTTTAGCTATTTTAAAGTCATTTTGGTAAAGTATTACAGAATTCTAGAATGCTTGTCTCAAGTTAGAATTTTAGTTGATAGTATAATTAGATAGAAAAGATTTCTCCTTAAATTTATATGGTAAGATTTTTATAATAATAATAAAGTTGTTATTTTTCATTTTTATGTATGAACTCTGAATTGCTTTCCCACCTTTTCAATTTTCATACAGTAATATTTAAGAAAAAAGCAGAACAGTGTTCTCATACAATAAAAAAATAAGGTGCCATGGTCAGAAAATAAATTTACCACATTATAAACACTCTTCAGTGTGGTATTTTTTTCTCTGAAATTTCCACACTCAACAGGAAGCATAGACAGCAGGTTTGAGTGGGTGGGTCTCTGAGGTTAAAACTGTTAATAAAGTAAAATACTTGAAATTTAGCTTCACATTCAAAGAATTTCCAACTTTGTTTAGTCCATTAACAAGAAGAAAGTGTTCTGACCAGTTAGTGCTAGCTTAAGTGTACTGGATTTTTTTTTTCTCTTCCTTCTAAGGATAGTTTCTTCTCTTAGAAAATGAAAATAGCTGATCTCCTAACTATAGTTAGTGAACTCTCTTACAGTTTATATTTAATAGTCAAATATATGAGGAAAGAGCAGCTTAGAAACCTTAAGGATTAGCACTATTAGAAGAACCATAAATGAATGGTAAGTTTAAGATTTTATTTTAATAATTGAATATAGAAGATTTTCATTATATTGTTTCTAATGTCAGTATTTGCACTGCAGTGTGAGGGGATTGTACTAAATGGTATCCTAAATTGTTTTTAAGTCAAAACATCCTGTAATTTAAACTCAGTGGGCGATGTTCATGCTAAAATTGCTTTGAATTTACATACTTCTGAAAAATGAAATCTGAGTTGATGTCTTTTATTTTTCCTTAGTCAATAACCTTACATCACTTAGAAGTTGCCTTGTGCAGTGGCATGCATCTGTATGTAATCTCAGCTACTTAGGAGGCTAAAACAGGAGGATTATAAGTTCAAGGCCAGTGTAGGCAAAAAAAAAAAAAAAAAATAGAAAAACTAAATTAAAACAAGTTATAAACATGTTTCAGAACTGTAGTAAGTAAAATAGAAGTAGCCATCAGTTTTTAAATTAAGGAGATATTGTTAGGTAAAATTAGAAAGTTAAGGGCTGTGAAACACTGAAATGATAGGACATCATTTCTGTGGTTTGTATTCATAAATAACTTGTTATTCATAAAACATTGCATTCAAAATTTAGAAACTCATAAGTCATGAAATTCAGAAGGTAAAGAGGGGCCATAGAATCATATTTTATTAGTAAAATTAGAATAATTTAAACAATTTTCTATGAAAGGTTAGAATTAGGATTCAGTTGGGTCCCCACTCATTGTTACTTTAATGCTCCTTAATGTAGGTAATGTTTATAATAAACAGTACATAATGTTCATAATACTTTCTAGGGTATTACTTGGTCAGTACTATGTTTTTTAGGTCAGCCTATTTCTTTTTATGTTTAATGTATTAGAAAGGAAATTTTATGTTTTAAGTGCAATTGCAAACTTTATAACATTAGAATTTTAGTTTCTAATGATCTCATTATTTATAAATGTAATTGGATGGCTGAATACTGCATTTGTTCTTTGCTTCAAAAAAACTTGTTTATTTAAAAACACATGAATAGTATATATTGAGTGGGGAAAAATGGTAACCAACTTTAATAAATGCTGGTGGGCTAAAAAGTAAGTATAGTACTAAGCAATTTTTATTATTTTTAGAAAAATAATAAAATCAAAACTACCATAACAAAGACAGGACTCCTATAAACTATATCCAAAATAGTCCTGATTTTGATATTTTACCTAAATTTTTATGATCTAATTTTTGTAGTGGGATAACAGAATCTGTAATTTTAAAATTATAATGGAAAATAGCAATTTGATGTGCTTTAGTAAATTTATTACAGAAATAATATCTGTAAGATGATTTATTATATATTATATAAGTAGTTTAATTTTGTTAGTTAAATTGACTCTGCATATCAAAAGCTAGTTATTTGAATAAATGCCATATTTCAATGAATTTTAAGTCAGTATCTGGATTTACATATTAAAAAAAGACTTCAGAAGGGAAGAAAGGAGCTAAAGGTGTAGGGAAGGTGGGATGGATAGGGGAAGGGTAATAAGGGAAAAGAAAAAAATGTGAGATAATGAAAAGATGGAAATAAAGTGTTTGTAGATGGGGAGGGGAGGAAGGGGTGAATTTAGGGCAGGGGTAAGGGGCAAAAATGAGAATCAAGACTTGTCATATAGAGGTACAAGATCCCAACAATGAATGTAACTGTACTGTATCCCTAAAATGTACCAATAAACTCAATTAAAGCTGAAAAAAAAAAAAAGACTTCAGGGGCTGGGGATTTAGCTCAGTGGTTCTGCTGCTTGCCTCACAAACACAGGACCTGAGTTCGATCCCCAGTACCAAAAAAAGATTTCAGTTCTTAACAGTCCTACAATTCTAAAGGCTTATGATCTGTCTGTAGACTGATCTGTCTAGATTAAGATCAAGATCTTTTTAAAAAATCGGTTCTCATATTTATCATGATGACAAAAGAGAATATTTATGGGAAATAAAACATTCTTTTTCTCCCCACCACAAGACAGAACAGTTAACCTTCCAAAATGTTTTTGTCAAACAAAAAGAAAACTATTCTACTGACCTTTTATAAAGAAGAAAAACATTATAAATAAAATTATAAATAATATATAATAAGCACAATTGTCATTTTTGTCCTATCCTCATTGAGGAAAAGGTTCAGGATTTAAAGACATTCAGAAGATACTATGGTGGCTGGGCATGGTGGTGCACGCCTGTAATCCCAGCACTTGGGAGGCTGAGGCAGGAGGATCGCTGTGAGTTCTAGACCAGCCTGGACTACATAGTGAGTTCCAGGTCAGTCTCCACTATACAGTGAGACCCTGTCTCAAGAAACCAAAAAAAAAAAGAAAAAACCCAAAAAAAACAGAAGATACTATGGTAAGAATTTTTCAGTGCATCCCAAGATAAATAGAGTTCCAGATAGTACTCTAGAATAGGAATGGGGGCAATATCTATAATACTGATAAGATTTGAGAAAACATTTGGTAACAAACCAACAAACCATTCCTTTGTTTTTTCTGTTTCCTTTTCTTATTCTCCTAGTTTCCACTTCCTATTCTCTATCCTGTTCTTTATAGCTTGTTTAACCTTACTTCATGTAAAGCAAATGTCCCTTTTTAGGATATTTGGTAAATAACATCTAGATGAATTCATTTCTGGAATATTAATTATAACAATGTAATTGACTGTCTAGAAAATGACCAGTTAAAACAAATATTTGGATTTGTAGTTTGGGGTATAAAAATCATAGCATTAAATATTATTTAAATATTTCTGCAGATCCCCAAGTAAGCCAATGGCACGGAAATTAATGGATTGGGAAGTAGTAAGCAGAAATTCAGTATCTGATGACAGGTTAGAAACACAAAGCCTTCCATCACGGTCTCCACCTGGAACTCCTAATCAGTAAGTAAAACCTACGGTATCAGGTCTTCATTTTGCTAATTTCTAAATAATTGGCTGTATATTTCCATAGTATGAACATAAATATGTGTAAAGCTTTAACTCTTGTGATGAAATATGAATTTTGTTGCTCCAGAGCATTACTTCATCTTCTCTTGTTGCTCATTGGAAAAATAGCATGGAATAGTCCTGGGGAATGAGAGAGTAGAGCAGTGAACACGGACCCTCATTTTCTTCAACAGTTGCCTTTCACAAAAAAGATTTCCAGCAAATAAATAAAGATATTAGTGAACTTTAAATCTCATGTCATTGTTATTTCCATAATCTTTTTCCATGTGGTTTTGCAACAGAATTTTTATGCTTGATCTTAGCCAAAAGACCAAGAAGCAATCCCCAAAAGAATTTTTAAAGGAGCATAAATTGTTTGAAAATGCTTTGCAAATGGTTGTGATTCTCTTACTTAAAAACTCCTTCCCAGTCATGGCTATACCACTTCTGTGGTGTAGAAAAAGGGATTTGCAATTCTAGTTCCCTAAATTTAGCTATAGCTATGCTAAAAAGAAGTGTGTGATTCAGCATTAGCCAAGCATTTCTCATGAAAACTGTATGTTTTTAGTGTAGATAATAAGTCAATAAATTTATCCTAGTCAAAGATGTTGAGTATCTTAATTTTGGAATAATAACAAGTTTACTGTATATAATATTAATTTATTTGTTAGAACAGATTCATTTATAAAATACTTGACTTTGGGTGAGAATATAGTATTTGAAGATATCTTCTTTTAGAAATATTTTATACACATTAATATTCAGTAAATTTGCACTAAACTTTAGACTCTAAGTCACTCATGGATGTTAGCTGAAGAATAAACTTATGTTAGACATAAAGTATGTGTATAAACAGTTTGGTTCACAGAAGTTTATTACTTAAGTGTCTTCCCTACTGCTGGAAAAATTGGACTCAGTAGTTTCTATCTTGCCAGTTGCAGATTGTTAAATAATTTTCTTAATAAAACACTGTGTATGTACTATACAAAGGCTTATCAGCTTGTTTGAAAAAAATTTCAGAAATGTCTTTTTCTGCTTCCTTTTGTAGCCATTGTTTCTCCATTTTTTGCTAGCACCATTAAACATTTATAGTGATGTATTTATTAGTCAGCATTTCCATTGCTAGGACAAAATAACTGACATACAAAATTTAAAGCAGAAGGGCTGGGGATTTAGCTCAGCGGTTTGGTGGCCTGCCTTGCAAAATTTAAAGCAGAAAGATTTTTTTTTGGCTCATGGTTTCAGAGGATTCAATACATGGCTGGCTGGCTCTAAGGCAGAAGCATCTTGACAGAAGAGCATGGCAGAAGAAAGCTGTCTACCTCATGGTAGCTGGAAACAGAGGAAGGATGGAACCAGAAAGAGAAAGGATCCAGAGATAGTAACACAACCTTCCAGGTCACACCCCAAGTGACCCACCCCCTCCAACCAAGCCTCACCTTTTAATAGCACATTAAGCTATGAATGCATTACTGAATCAATCCACTGATAAGTCTACTGCCCCCTGATTCAGTCACCTTCCAAAAACCCCATATCTGAACACATGAGATGTTTGAAGAACATTTTATAGAACAAGAAAATTAAGAAGATGCAAGAAATTTAAGCCAAATGACTGAAGTAATTAATTAGCAGTAACTCTGATTATTTGTTGTGGTTAATAAATTTTGGGGGGATACTGTGGGGATCGAACTCTTGTCCTTGCACTTGCGAGGCAGGCTAAATCCCCAGCCCCAATAAAATAATTTTAGATATGACCTGAAAAAAGTTTTTTTTGTTTTGTTTTATTTTAATTCCTAAGAGATAGTAAAGTGTGGGAGGGTATGAGAGTGGACCTCCGAGTCACTGTACATTTGGACCCTGTTTGATTAATTTCCATCTTTTTCCGCTTCTAAAATTTTTATTTATAATAATGATGTGTTTCTTACATTATTATTTTGAAGACTAAGTGAGGTGATCCATATAAAATGCTTAGAATAATGTGTGGTGCGTAGTAAGTACTCAAGTAGTTCTTCTAATTAGTGATTTGAATAACAGTAATTATACATAAATGTCATTTTAAAAGCTAGAAATACCTGGTATTTAGTAACTACTCTTAGGAGTTAAAATTCCAATAAATAAAAATCATTAAGAATTAAAGAGGAGCCAGGCAAGATGATGCATAATTGTAATCACATACTCTGAGGGGCTGAGGCAAGAAGATCACAAGTTTGATCCCAGTCTGAGCAATTTAGCAACTGAATTAATTGAAACATTTATTTACTTTTTCTTCCTTTTCATTTAGCCGAAATTCTACATTCACACAAGAGGGAACCCGGTTACGACCATTTTCCGTTGGTCATTTAGTAGACCATGTGGTCCGCACTTCCCCAAGTGAAATTTTTGTGAATCAGAGATCTCCATCATCAACACAAGCTAATAGCATTGTTCTGGAATCGTCACCGTAAGACCTTTTTTCATTTTGCTTCCTAATTGTATGTTTTCATATGCCCCAAATTGTTTCATTGGAAATAATCTGGGGAATTAGAATATTTGATACATGATTTTATGTGCTGTTTTTTAATATATATTTGTAAATGAGTTTATTTGTCCTTCAGAATAGTTTTTGCCTTTTTCCTCTCTCCCCAAGTCACAGGCTATTCTTTTACCTTTCAGGGCATCCATTCAAATATTTGTGTTTATGCTGTAGTGTTGTGGTCAGGGAGTACGGTAGTGAAAAGTAGACCTTTCCTAATTATTTTTCCAGTTGTGGAAATGAAACTCATGGCCTTTTGCATGCTATGCTAAACAAGTACTCCAGTACTGAGTTACATCCCCAGCTCCTCTTAAAATTTTTTCAGAAAAGGAGTCATAAAGATAAAGGGACAGTGTTGAGAAAATTAAGTAACAAGGGGAAACTAAGATCATAGTCAAGCATGATGGTGTATGCCTATAATCCTAGCACTCTGAGGGACTGAGGACTCAAGTTCAAGGCTAGACTTTGCAATTTAAATAGTGAGTGGCTGTGTCCAATAAAAAACAGGTAGATTAATGTGAAGACTCTGAATTCAATCCCCAGTATCATGGTGAAGGGGGTTTCACACTGAATAAGTCATAGAAAGCATACACGTTTCATTGCTAAAGTTTATTTCTACCTCTTGTTGTAACCAAGTGATACATAAATTTGTCTTCTTAATTCAGTACTAATGTACCATTGGTTTAATGCCCAATCTGCATATATTCACACTAATATGCAATTTCCATTTTTTTTTTTTTTTTTGGTGCCAGGGATTGAACTCAGGTCCTTGCACTTGCAAGGCAGGCCACCGAACTGCTGAGCTAATGTCTTGATTTATTGGATTATACAGTACAGCTAATATGCAAGTGGGAGATTTGGAGGGGAAATATAATACCTATAAGATTCATAGATAGATCAGAAAATTCATTAATTGATGAGAAGGAAAAAGAGTAAATGTCATCAGGCTTAAAAAAAAGATGAGTGTTAGAATGATAGGTAAAGAGAGATGGGTTGTTTGGTTGCAACACAGTTACAACAGGAAAAACTCAGCCTGAAATTTGAGTTAATAATAGCAGTATGTTATGCATCAATAGCAGCAACAGCTTTTCCAGGTTCTGCAGTCATCTGAACAAAATTATAGACATTCAGCACACTTCATTAAAAAAATAAAAAAGAGAAGAATAATACCCAGAAAACAGCAAAGTTCTGTTGCTGTTGTGGTACCTGGCACCATTTTTTTTTATTAGCATCTTAATAGTTGATTTTTTTGTTTTTTTGAGATGGGGTCTCACTATGTAGTTGAGACTGAACTGGAACCCACTATGTAGCCCACGTTGGTTTTGAACTCACAGCGATCTTCCCGCCTCAGCCTCCCGAGTGCTGGGATTACAGGCGTGCGCCACCATGCCTGGCTGGAAATCTAATGTTTTATTTAAAGTTATAATTATAAATTTTTGATCAGTTTCTAGTAATCATGTATTTTCTAATTTTGAAACTTTAAAAAAATACAAAGTAATTCTTGAGGCCTAATCAAATTATCTTAATCTGTGTGTGTGTGTGTGTGTGTGTGTGTGTGTGTGTGTGTGTGTGTCTGGGATTTAAATCCAGGGGGTGCTGATCTACATCCTTGTTTTATCTTGAGACAGGGTTTCTCTAAGTTTTTCATTGCTGGCCTCAAACTTGGAATACTTCTGCCTCAGCCTCCCTAATAGCTGGGATTATGGGCATCACCATCATGCCTGGCCCACAAAGTTTTTTATGTGGGTAAATTTTGTATAGTATATGTTTTGAGCCCTGATTACTTCCCCCCACCCTATCTTTTAGAACATTTTTGGCATATTACTAATTTTAAGTATATTTAAACTATTGAGTTAGAAATACTTCAGTTAAATTGTGGATGTATCAAAGCCCCAGTCTCTACTGGTCTTGCTTTCTGCTCACAAAAACAGTTTCTGTTTTACAATTTAAATTTAAAATATTACCATTTATACCCAAAATAGCATGATTGGTTGAATGGTTGACTTTGTTGCTGTGCTCTACCACTGAGCTATAACCCAGCCCCAAAATAATTTAAAATAGTCATTTTCGGGATATGCTCTTGTAAGTCCCAGGAGTTCTGTTAATGCCTCAGGTAGGTAGGAGGGCTGCTAAGTATGTCTGATTGAATACAGAGGAATTCCTTACATTCTTAACTTTATTCTTAGGTCTCTAATCACAAGAAACTGTATGCAGACCTCCTAACCCTGCACTTGTAAATCCATTTTCCTGAGCCATTCTTTTCTGGACTGGTCCATTCTCGTCTTTCCTAATGATTCCTCACAGCTTTGTCCATACCTCCTCAAGTCCTTTTACTTTGACATCACATTTTGCCTTTCTTTTGCTTCCTCTCAACTACTAGCATTGATAACTTTTATCTGTAAACTCAGCTTTTCCCAATTCCCAGTTTAATCTTGATCAAATCTAGCAATGTATTGTGAACCCTGCAAATACAAGGCTGCTCTGGGATAAAGAAATGAAAAAAAAATATAAGAGACTGCATGAAAAGGAGATGTTGAGCCATAAGGACTCAGAAGAGTCCTTAGATGCTGTATTCATGGTAGCAAGACTAACATAGATCTTTGGGCTGCTGTTACTATAGTATGCTTACCTGCCATCCTTGTCTGTCTAAAGTCTCTGTGACTTGCATTTGGCAGCTAAGGTCAGGGACTTTGGATTTGTTTGAAACTAAGAGTCTCAAATCTAGGAGTCCTATTCTGGAATAAATTCCTACTAATAAAATGATTGGACATTGCCAATTTTATTCAATTATATTAATCCTATCCCTGAGGGTTAATATGCATTTTTAAAAATTGTCTAAAGTATTGATTAGTAATCAACCTGAAAAATGATGTTTATTTTGAAATACTCTCAAATATCAGTATAAATGAAGCAAAAGGTCAAAATGTAAGCTTTAAACCAGAGTTTTCTCTATCTAATGTAATATAAGCAAAGTATTAGGTTAAATGCAAAGTGAAGACTGGTATGACAGTAGTGATTGTAGTTAAATGAGTCATGGTATCTTGGTGTGTGTCTTAGAGAAGTTTGAGAATAGTCCTTATTCCTGAGAAGTTTATATTGATGTCTCTACCAAGAAACAGTTTTTTGTTTTTGTTTGCTTTAAGTAACTAAAATAATAAAACCTTGGGATTTCATTTCTAACTTTCTCAATAACAAATCTTTTTTTGTTTTTGTTTTTGTTTTTTTTGGTACTGGGGATTGAACTGGGGTCCTTGCTTGCAAGGCTTGTGTGTCTTAGAGAAGTTTGAGAATAGTCCTTATTCCTGAGAAGTTTATATTGATGTCTCTACCAAGAAACAGTTTTTTGTTTTTGTTTGCTTTAAGTAACTAAAATAATAAAACCTTGGGATTTCATTTCTAACTTTCTCAATAACAAATCTTTTTTTGTTTTTGTTTTTGTTTTTTTTGGTACTGGGGATTGAACTGGGGTCCTTGCGCTTGCAAGGCAGGCCACCGAACCGCTGAGCTAAATCCCCGGCCCTAACAGTTCTTTTTTAGTTGCCCCCTATAAATCCAGGCAGTTGTCTCCATCTGTAAGATTTCTTCCACAGCCTCTTCATTCCGATACTCTTGACAAATGTGTGGGTATACATAGAAGTAGTACGTTTGTTAAAGAACTGATCTATTTCAAGACATTGTTATTGTTACTATTATTATTTTTTGGTACCAGGGATCGAACTCGGGACCTTGTGCTTGCAAGGCAGGCAGTGTCACTAAACTGAATCTCCAGCTATAACATTATTTTAAATTTTAAATGTGCAATAATCTTTTTTTTTTTGATACCGGGAATCTAACTTGGGACCTTGTACTTGTGAAGCAGGCAGCAGAACCACTGAACTACATCCCCGGCCCAAATGTGTAATAATATAATAATAATGTATGTATACACACACACACAGACAGCTCAGCTTTAGATATGAAGAAGGAAGTTATTCATTAATACTTTTGGAAAGTACTTTAGAAATGTAATTTGTAACCGGTATATGGATTTGAAGAATCTGTGTTGACACCCTTGATTATCTTTATAGACTTTAGTGTATGTGCATATGTGTGTGTGAACAGATTTTGGCTGTTCAAGTTGGAAATGTAAAAGGGGAAAACTATGAAAGCACAAAGAGTATAAAAGGCCCCCATACAAACTTATCAGGAGCAAGTAGGATACTTACAGAGGTAATCATCAGTCTGTGAGAAGTTACTTTTAATAGAAGACTACCAGAGTTCAGGTAACCTGTGTCCTGAACACCAGTTTTACTACATTTCCTACTACTGTCTGTGTCTGGACTCCCTTTCCCTCACCTTCTCTTTAGAATTTGGTTTAAATCCCAAGCTGAGTTCTACATACTTGGCCTCCATTCCTATCTATGTCTTTCTGCCTATCTGCATGTGTTATAGCTTGTGTTAAGATGTCCCCCCGAGTGGCTGAAACTAGAGTGTGTGATTGATTTATGGTGGGACCAGGCCAAAAAGGCACTAGTATTAAGGGCTCAAGTGCTACCTACCCTAAGTAGTCCGATTAAGATAAAAGGGGCAGAAAGACACCATTAAGGACCCTTGCTGCTTTGCCACCGTCCGTCCACCATGAACTGTTGCCCCTCTGCCACTCTTCTTTGGAGCTAGCCGATTATGGACTGAACCATCTATGAACTGTAAGCCAAATAAACCTTTCCCCTTTAACTTTGTATCAAGTATTTTGTCTCAGCAACAAGAGAAAAGAAACTAAGACAGCATGTTTAAGCAGAGGTTATTATCAAGTACTTAGTGGAGTCTGGCAAGTAACCCAGGGTAGTATTTATGTAGGTTAAGTGCCCATGCCTATCAAATGATACCCACTGTGTTTGGCTTTCTCCAATTGGTAATGCAAGAACCCCACCTTTTATTTTTACAGTGTTTCCATATTTTTCATTGTGAAAATCCATATTTGTATGTAATTTTTGTCATCAACTCACATAGTTTTTATAAGAACAATGCATGGGACAAATGTGTGTTGTTCAAAATTGGCTCACAACCCATGAAGTTCCAGGCACTGTTCTAAGACAGTAATTTCTAACCAGAAGTGCCCAATAAAAATGACCTCAGGGGCTTCTTTGACAATACATGCCTAAGCTCTACCTCCCAGAAACACTGATTTAACAGTTTTGGCAAAATCCCATGTCAGTGTTGTTCCTCTCATGTAATTGAACATTGCTACTGTTACACCAACAAGATTTGGCTTACTTACATATTCCATTGTAGATCAGGCCTGAGTTTGTCCTACTGTCTATTTTGGTGTTATGTTTGGCCCAAAACCAGATCAAAAACACTGCAAGTTTCTCTGCGTATGTTTCTATCTGATCTCAACTTTCATACTACCTATTCCCACAGCCCTTTGATTTTGAGGCTAAATACTTCCTAAGTTTGACAACTGTGTGCACAACCAGAAACAAGTTTCTAATCATCTTGTTTAAATGGTTAGATTTAAGCCTACATAAGGGGAAGATACTATTATTTATTATGTGTGGTGCCAGTGATAATGTTTAGAAACTTTTTTGTCCAGTAATAGGAAATCTGTGAAGTTCTGCCAACGAATGTCCATTTTGATCTGTCATAGTTTCATATATGGCTATGGTTGAAGTTTCTAGTCTAGACTAGAAACACTTGTACATATGGTATGAGGTGTGATTGAAATGTATGGTAAATGTTTTGAACTAAAAATTGTATTACAGTAAAAGACACATTGCCATTAATCTTCATCAAGATACTCCCCTTTATTGAAACAAACTTAACCTATTATTCTTGCCATTTTCTGAAGCAGTTCTGGAAGTCCTCTTTTGTGAACATCTTTACAAGGTAAAAATACACTGAATCTGCTGCTGAGTCCCATCCAGTGGAAGGGCAGGCTTGTAAAAACATTATGGTGTGCTCTCATCATTTTACTTACCAGGTATGACACTGCGTGACTTCTGACTTTCACAAAGTCAAAATGATCATGAAAGTTAAACAGTTTGAAGGTATTTAGGACATCTAGGCAGCCAGGAAAGCACAACTAAAAAGAGCCATGAAAGTGGACTTCCTGAAGTGTTTCGGAAACCGGCGAGAACGATGGGATGCATGCGATCAAAATGAGCAGGACTGTTTTAAGGGCTATTAGTGATATGTCTTTTACTGTAATAAGTGTTTTTAATCATTCGCCATTTAAAAAATTATACCCTGTATTGGTCCTTAGAGGTTTGGGTTCTTGGCAGTTGAAAAATAGCACGTTAAAAACTGCTATGTGTGGCATCTGCAATCCCTGGCCAGATCTAATGAAAGCTGCTGCTAAAAAGAAGGGGTATATACGCTGATGCAGTCCTCATAGGTTTATCAGAATTTACAACACTTATGCACTGAATACTTCTCTGCAAATTTCTAGGTAGATAAAGTATTATTCTGTACTTGCTAATTATTTAGTGATTATAGTTTATGCCAGATGAGAGCATTTCAGGATTTCCTTGGGAGAAATGTTCCTAGGTATCTATATGATCACACTATTCGTTGTTGATCTCCATATCTGCCAGGCCTTTAGGAGCCAACCTCTATAAAAAGGTTCACACCTCCTCTATTAAGGGAGAATGTGTCCAAGAGTTAGTCCTCCAGTCACCTTTGTTATCTTAGGGAAATTAGGCTGTGAGAGCAAATAAGCCTAATTATAGTGACTTCAAACAACAAAGGTAATCTCTTCCTTACCTTGTTTGTGCATTGTGGGTCAGTTATGACTCCACATTATCTTCATCCTGGGACCCAGAGCAACAGCACTTATGATTGGAACAAGGCTATACTCGTGACCAAGCATGTTGGGGGCAGGGGAAACATGATCTTAAATGTTTCTTAAAGTGTCCTTTCAAAAGTGGCATATACCATTTCTATCCACATGTCATTGGCTAAAGTCCCATGGCCAAGCCTGCTTGTCAGCCAGGAGAAGGTGGTGAATATTTTAAAACTCTAATATACTTCTACTTTCTCGAAACATTATAGCTTGAATGTTAGGTGTCTGTTGTGAGTCAATGAAAGTGATTAGACAGTAGATGAAATGAATGTCTGAATACACAGCAGCAGCCATGTGGGGTGGCATAGCAGCTGTCAGCTCCCTTATTGTTCCTCCTCAGTGAAACAGTAATCTTCTCATTTCCCCTAAGGACTTCCTGCCATCTGAGACAGATAATAATTGCTTACTTCCTAAATTGAATCACTGGTTCCCCCTTCTGGCCTTTGTGGAAAACATACAAGTAATGTTCTAAATTATGCTTGTTCTTAGAAGCTACAATTTCTAACTTAAAATTTCTCCTGTAATTCTTCTGTGTCAGTTCCTGCCAACAAAACTGCAGTATATGCTTTCTATAATGTTAATTGGATTTGGGTTAAATTACCTTACAGTGTTTCTTCCAGTTTTGTCTCTTCATTGATCAACTCAACATTCTTCTCATCCTTGTCACATTAATGAGTTCATTACTCACATGAGCCATCTTAAAGAGAATAGACCACTTACTTAAATTTTTATAGACCATACAAGTGTTTCATTTGGAACACTCTAGTCCTCAATTTGATTTCTCTTATTTTCAAGCTACCAGTGAGTTCACTATGAAAACCTCAGAAAAATCTTTGGGGAAAGATGTGCAGTGTGATGGCAAATTAATAAATGTCTATAGTAATGCCCTTGAAGTAAAGCAGGAAATCAGATTTGTTACTTTAAAGGCAAGAAATTTTTTATTAAAAAGGAGTACTCAAAAATAAATATGGTACTTAAAGCCTATCTACTTTGCATTATAAATACCATTTTTTAAAAATCATTTATAAAAATTTAATCTTTCCCTCTTTATTATCTAGATCACAAGAAACTCCTGAAGATGGGCAGCCTCCAGCTTTACCACCCAAACAATCTAAAAAAAACAGTTGGAACCAAATTCATTATTCACAGTCTCAGCAAGATCTGGAAAACCACACGAATGAAACGTTTGATGTTCCATCTTCCCCTGAAAAGTCTACTGTAAGTAGCTTCTTCAGATATTCTCACTTTTCAAGATTTTAAACTCTAAGTGCAATTCATTTTGTATTGTAGCATGTTTTAGTTGTAAATTACAACTTTCTCTTTTACTTGCTCACTTACAGTATTGAGGATTGAACCCAGAGTCTCATGCATGCTAGCCAAGCACTCCACCACTGAGTTAGCTCTTCATTTAAATTGTATTTTGAGACAGGGGCTTGTGAAGATGCCCATTTTGTCCTTAAACTTGTTCTCTTCCTGCCTAGCTTCCTGAGTGGCTGGGTTTGTAAGTGTTCACTGCTGTGCCCAGCTAGCACTTTCGCTTTTTTGTCATATTCTTTGGTCATGAGTTGTTGTATAAGGTATCACAATTATGGAGTTTTCCTCTTAGCTTCATTTACAAAATGGCTATTGCTTTAGAAGTTAATTTTTTTTTTTAGGTATCACAATTATGGAGTTTTCCTCTTAGCTTCATTTACAAAATGGCTATTGCTTTAGATGTTAATTTTTTTTTTTGTGTGTGTGTGTGTGTGTGTGTGTGTGTGTGTGTGGTACTGGGGATCGAACTCTCAAGTCCTTGTGCTTGCAAGGCAGGCCACCGAACTGCTGAGCTAAATCCCCGGCCCTAGAAGTTAAATTATTGACAAATTTTTGTTTATTTCAGTATTACATAACATACCTATACTTCCAGAACAAATGCTAATACTGGTAATCTATTAAATACTCTCAATCTTGCTATATAATTCCTTAGTGCAGAGACTTTAATATTTCATCAGTCTTTTGAAATTGAATACAGGTTCTTGGTGTGTGTGATCACTCTGTTTTACAAAATTATGAATTGTTTTAGTATTTTTGCCTTAGAGAATATACTTTTAAAACTCCAATAAACTGGTAAGTTGTTAGAGTACTGTGGTTTTATCAATTTTCATTGGTTTCTCAAGTGGATTTACTGTGAGATTATCAGTTTATTGTAAGGAATCGCTGTTCTTGAAGAACTAGAAAGACAAATAAGTACAGGTAATGTCAGCAATTTTAAAAGCCATCAAGGTGAAATAAGATCCTAAGAGAGGCAGGTCCACAGCAGATACTGGCGTGCCTTTGGTAGCCACTGTACTCATTGCTGTCTTGTTTCTTCAATCATAGCCTCTTGCATTATCTGAGGTTGAAAATCAAAAGGCAACCATTCTATTCTCCTACACTTACTGCTCCACTACCACGGACATATCAAGAAAAGATCAGAACTGAAAGTTAATCACAACTCTAATACTACCTGTGGTGACTCAAACATATCATTTATTGATGCATTTATTCAGTTATTGAGCTCCTACTGAGTGCTAGGCACATTGATTGATGGAAATGGACATATAAGATGAGTAAGACATGTTTTAGTCCCTGCTACTATAAAATTTATAATTTGTCTCTGTATTCAAAAATTACTTTTGAGCACCTCAGTGTGCATACATACATTTTTCACAGACTCTGGGGATTTATCAAATAACATATGAAGAAAACAAGCCCCTGCCTTCAAAGAACTTATATTCTGAGGATAAATTGTAAATAAATTAAACAATTTAAATATATAATAATATTACATCATATAAATAAAGCAGGAATTAGAGAATTTCAGTAGTATTGCACTTTTAGATTGTATAATATGGACAAGGAATGAACTTAGTAATGTGCTATGTAAATGTCTTGTGGAAAAGCAAGAGAGCTAAAAGAGTAGCAGGAACAAAGCTAGTGTCATAGAGTGTTTTCCATTACTATAACTGAATAACACAGACTGGGTAATTTATAAAAAATAGAGCTTTATTTAGTTCGTGATTCTGGAGGCTAACAAATCCAGTAACATGGTACAGCCTCTGATAAGGGCCATTGTCTGCTGAATCATAACACGGCATCACATGGCAAGGCACAGCAAGCATGCTAACTCAGAACTTTTTTTTCTTACGTAGCCACTGATGCTGTCACACGGGGTCCCCACACTCAAGACCTTGTCTAATCTTATTTTTCCCCAAAGGTCACACCTCCCAAATACTATTAATCTCTGAATTTGAGGTTCATTTTCAAATGCAAACTTTTGGTCAACATATTGAAACTATAGCAACAGGATTATGATGGATATAATCAAGGAACATCAGTGGACAGTGTGGCTAGAAGAATGTGAGCAAATGAGGAGATAAGCTAGGTCCTCAAGCCTTCCATTGTAAGGATTTTCCTTTTTAACCCTGAGTGAGAGAGGAAGCAAATGGACATATCGCAGGAGAGAAGTATCATGATGTTACTTACACGTTAATAGTATCTTTCTGGCTGTTGAATTGTTTTTGTTTTTGGTACGGGCGATCAGACTCAGGTCCTTGTGCTTGCAAGGCAGGCGGCAGAACCTCAGCTAAATCCCCAGCCCCTGGCTATTGAATTGAAAATAGACTGAAAGTGAGGCAGAAGCAGATGTGCTGGTTGTAAGGTTTTGCAGTATTCCCTGCAAGTAAGGAATGGTGTAAGGAATGGTGACTTAGACCAGGATTATGGCAGTACAGGAAATGAGAACTGACTCTTCTGACATATTCACATGATATGGCAGTGAATAAAATATGAAATAAGAGAGAAATCAAGTAATGTCAGTGCTTTTGGCCTGACCAGCTAAAAGGATGAAATTGGAAATGATTGAAATGTAAAACACTGAAGATGGAGCAGGTAAAGGTAAGAGTATCAGGAGCTCAATTTGGGACATGTTGAGTTTGAGATCCCTATTAGGAGTTGGCTTGGGGATGAAGACAATTTGGGTGTATGATTGGATGGACGAAGTGAGAGATCTGAACTAGTTATGGGTAGCTCGTGGCATATAGAAGATATTTAAAATCACTCAAAACAAATCACCAAGAAAGTGTATGTAGATGTTTAAGAGGTTTAACTTAGAGTCTTTAGCCTTCCAGGTTGTAAACATAAAGGAGATGGGGAAAAATAGTAAAGGAAACTGAGAAGATGCAGACAGAAAGGTAAAAGAAAAAATCACAAAGGACTTTTGTGAAGGAAGTCACAGAAAGAGTGACTAACTTTGTCAAAGGCTACAGATAAGTCAGGGAAGACAAGAGCCTAGAAGGGCACACTGGAATTAGCAATTTGAAAATCTTTGTTGTACTTAATTAACAGTTGTGAGGATGAAAATCAAGAGTATTTAAATGAGATGAGAGGAAATGCAAATGACAGCAAATGCTTTCAGTTTGCCTATTTTCTTGCCAAAGTAATGGTAGAAAGCATAGAAAACATGTATCTCTAAGTTATTAGTCAAAAAATGCACTGTCGTAAGGCTGGGATTTAGCTCAGTGGCATTGTACCTGCCTCACAAGCACAAGGTCCTGAGTTCAAAGTACTCTCCTGAATTAATAATTCAAACAGAATGATGATTCTTTACATATTGTATATAATACAACTATACAGATAGCATGCTTCATGTATATCTGAAGGGTGGATTAAAAATGAAGAAAGTTATGTTTTGTCTTTTCAAGCCTAATGGTGGTATTCCGCATGATAATCTTGTTCTAATCAGAATGAAACCTGATGAAAATGGAAGATTTGGATTTAATGTAAAGGTAATTTGGAATTTATATTGTACTCAGTTTTCACATTTAAATGTCTTATTTTGTCAGTATTTAATACTTACTCTCTTATCAAGGGAGGATATGATCAGAAGATGCCTGTAATTGTGTCCCGAGTGGCACCAGGAACACCTGTGAGTTACTCAATCTTTATAAGTAGATTTAGTTTTCAAGAATATGTATTTATTTTGTTGTTTTTTTAAAAGTTTAAGGAAAGTCTTTGATCATTTTTTTAATCTAGTATCAAATGTTGCTGTCTAGATCTCTTAAATTGCTGGGAAGGTAGTTTTTATTCTGTCTTTTAAAGAAGCTATTTATAACTTTCAGTGCTTCCAAAGTGTTAACAGATTCTATCAAAGTAGCCCCCTCCCCCCCCAGTTCTGGGGCTTGAACTTAGGACTTCGTGCTTGTGAGGCAGGCACGGCACCACTGAGCTAAATCCCTGGCCCAAAACAGCCACTTTAAACAACAAAATAAGCTAGGCTTGTTGGTACATGCCTGTAATCCCAGCACTCAGGAGGCTGAGGCAGGATGATTGCTGTTAGTTCAAGGCCTATCTCCAAATTTAGAAAAGAGGAGGGTATGTGGCTCATTACTACATTCCTGGGTGGTTAAAAAATAGAGAAAACATCATATGTACCCCCGTACCTATTGTGATAAATCCTGTTACTCATCATTCAGCTTCAACGGTCATGTATTTCCTGTCTATTGTAGGACAGTTCTTAACTGATTATGGGTGCAATATTTTTATTGCTGTTATATGTAGCAATATTGCTTTCAGATTTCCATTTATGTTATTTTGTAACCTGTTTTGTTATATTTTTCTTACCTAAATGGTTTTAAGCTCCCTTTAACTGTCTTTGTCCTGGCAAGAAAGCATGATCCAGCAGTCTAAGTAAAAGATTCTGGGCCAGGGATTTAGCTCAGTGGCACCACACCTGCCTTGCAAGCACAAGGTCATGAGTTTGATCCCGGGTACCAAAAAAAGAAAGAAAGACAGAGAGAGAGAAAGATGCCAACTATTTCTTGGGCTATTTTGCAGTAACCTCATAGTTGATTTGAAAACCACAATCAAGATTGATCAAGGACATGATGATAATGTAGTATCGATTCTGTTTTTTTTTAGGACTTTGTGTCCAAGTAACGAGGTACTCAAGGAATACCCCATCGTAATAAAAAATACATAATTTATCAGAGAGCTATAGAGGGATCACACAAAAGCCAGGAACAGGGATGCAGTCAGACTCTAAAGAAACTTTAAAAGTCATTAAGACTATCTGCTTGTCATTTTATGCAGTTGTTCTTTTCTTTCAGTGAAGGCCAGTTTGTACCTTGAATCAGCTTCATCTTTCAGGTTAAGCATAGTCTAAATAAAATGAGTATACTAGTTGCAGCTTTAAGCCAAATCCTTGTAGTACCACCACCACACACATACATGTTCAAACTGGATTGTCACTCTTAAATCTCCACTGAAAAGAACTTGTACAACTACGTACCACTAATCCTTTGTCCTCAGTGATAGGTACAACTACTGATAACTTCCAGATATTTATGTTACCATCTTAATAACCAGAGTAGCTAAACTTCTTGGGCTAAATTGTAATGTCATAAGATGTGAAGCTTTAATAGATCCAACTTGGATCAGATGTCCTTGTTTGAAAAAATTCAACGATTTTTTTAGAGATGGGACTAAGATATTATACATAAAATGACTACTGGGTTCATAAGGTGCATGTGAAGGAAAAGGACAGAGCTGGAAAAGACAACCTAAAATCATTTATTGAATGGGAAATATGTATGTGTTTGGGACTATAGATGAAGTAATAAACATTTGCTAAATCTGTCATGTAGAAAGTTCACATTTAATATAGAAAAAAGAAAAGGGTGATGTTATTTACAGATAGAGATAAATATAAAAAGATAAAATGTTAAAAAATATTGTTGCCTCTAGAGACAGGGCAGTAGTATGGAGGAATACAAATGGTTTCCTAACTTCATAGACAAGCCAACTTGGAAACTGTCATTTATGACTTTTTTTTTTTTTCAAGACAGGGTCTCACTATGTAGTTGAGACTAACCTGGAACTCACTATGTAGCCCAGGCTGGTCTCAAACTCACAGTGATCCTCCTGCCTCAGCCTGAGAGCTGGGATTACAGGTGTGCGCCACCATGCCCAGCTTTATAACTTTTCTAAAAACAAACATTTAAAGTAGAAATTTTAAAATCAATTATCTTTTGATCAGATAATTCTGCTTTTAGGAATTGCTCCTGATGAAATATGTGAACTAGAATACCATAGTACTTATATGAGTGTTCATTATAGCGTGAAATTGAGTAAAATAAAAATGTACACTATGAGAGTTGGTGAAAATGTTATGCCTTTCTTTGAGGTGATTTTGTAGTTCTATACAAATATGAAAATATGCCCATAGAATTGTATTATTTTAAAATACAAGTTGTACTTTATATATGTTTGTCAGTTTTTTAATATAAAATTGTGTACATATAAGAAAATGTTAAAAGGTTAGTGTTGCTCCTCGACAATGGAGTTGTGTGTTGATATTTTTTACTTTATTGTATATTCCTTTTTTGTTTGAATTATGACAGCAAATGTGTTTTTTTATAATTAGAAAAGATAATACTTTATTTGTATGGAAGTGGTAACACTAAGTGAATAACACAAAAGCAATACTGGTCTTTCTGAGCGGTGAATGTTTTCAAGTAAGCAGGGATACTTTTTAATTAGGTCAAAGATATTCAGGAACATTCTGTAAATATACTTACAGTTCTATTTTTAAGTATGTAAATTTTGATAAATTTTCCCTTCTGCAGCATAGAACCATGTTCCATACATTGGCTTACAGAGCAATAGGAGTTTATCATTTTTGAAGTCTTTTATTAACTTAGAAACCATTACAGTATACCAGATGGAAATTACTTTTTTTTTAGGGGATGGGGACCAGGGATCGAACTCAGGACCCTGTACTTGCAGGGCAGGCAAGGTGCCACTGAGCTAAGTCCCCAGCCCAGAAATCACATTTTTTATGTGATTGAAGAAACTAGGATTTCAAGTATTTTAATATCTTTTATAATAGATAACCTAAAAATGAATCATTCCCAATTTAAATTATGTTTTTCTTTCTGTCTGATAAACTTTTAGCTAATGACTATTGCACTAACAAAATTTTTCTTCACCTATAATTAATCTAGACTTTCCAGATAAGAATGAAGCTCAAATAAAAACATATCTGACCAGTCCATAGATTTAGCGCAGTGGCGTCACCACCTGCCTTTCAAGTGCAAGGTCCAGAGCTCGATTCTTGGTACCACAAAAAAAAAGTATATGACAAAAGGCGGATAAAATATAAAGGAATTTCCTTTACTGATAGTGGGTACAATAAGAGAAGCTCATAGCTGTCCTACACACATGTCACCCCCTCTTTTCTACTAGCTGTAATATTCATAAAGTGATGTGAGAGGATGCCTCTTTCTGCTACAACGCATTACATTTCTCCTATTAGTTCCCAGTCTACCTCACTTCAGGGATCCCAAAGACATTTATAAAAATTTTGGAACTAAATTAGTATGTAGAAGTTCGACACTGCTCATGCACAGAGGGAATTATGAATTGTAATTATAAACATCTGTCATCTGCCTCACTACAGAAGTAGAGATAAAGCAAATAACAGGAATGAGCATAATAACTCAGTAAAATAATCAGGACAAATATCTCTATTCTGTTTTCAGAGTTTCAAGTAGCTAAGATCACACATTTTATAAGCAGCAGAGGAACAACTTGGCTTTTAAACTAGTGCTTTTTTCTACTAATGACTTTACCTTATTGGATTTGTGGAATCAATACTGATAGTAAATTTGAGTAGTTGTGTCTTTGCCATAGGACATTCACTTTCTTGGAAGATCCTGCCCCATGATTTTTTTCTTCATCAGGCCTGTCATCCTTCATACTTGACTGTCTTGTGTTTCACTGTTGTCTTCCCAGAACACACTGCCCATATTTCTATTTGTTATTTCTTTTAATAATTGGCTTTGGGGATGGGGATTTAGCTCAGTGGTTCAGTGGCCTGCCTTGCAAGCGCAAGGACCCGAGTTCAATCCCCGGTACCAAAAAAATAAAATAAAATAATAATAATAATTGGCTTTGAGTCAGTAAAGTATAGGCAGTCCTCATTTGCACAGTAGTATAAGACTGTAAAAGTGACCATGCAAGATGAAGCTGTGCATGTTCTTGATTATCAGTTACAAAACTATAGCTATTCTCACAACAAAAAGGTATAAACAAATGAAAAATCGTAAAACATTTATTTAGTGTCCTGTAATTCAGAACATCAGAAACATTGAGAAATAATATGTTTAATTTCTTTTTGAAAACTTGTCACCAGTAGTTTGAATGGTACTTGCCTCCTTTTCATAAAACTTAACAGTGCAGAGTGGACATCTTTTCTTGCCTTGACAAATTCATTATGATCCTCTGTAAGTTTGGATACACTTACAAATTGTTGTTCTTTGAATTTTTTTTGTAGTATGAAAATAACTCCAAGAATTTGCTTATCTAAAGTCTCTCAAAGAGCAGTAGTGTCAACGATCCCATGGTCTTGTATTTCTTCTCTAACTCCACTTAACCATGTTTTGTTTCTTTTCTGTACTATTCTCTTCCTCAGTGGCCACTCTGTAAGGCAGGTAAGACAAGGATAGGCTGATTGGGGCTGGCATTTTTGATCTCTAATTTTCAAGGATGATTATTTTCTGACAAGGTCTTATTTTAGCAGCAAAATTTGTACTTCATGCAGTGACTCACAGTTAATTACCATGGTAATTAAAATGTGAACTATGTTGTTGGGACTTGTGCTACATAAGCCACGGTACCTGAAATTTGTACATATGTAATCATTTGTAATTGAAATGTGTACGTATGAAATCATCAGTGTTACTTGGGTCTTTAGGTATATAATACGTCATCAGGAAGTTGTTGAGTAAGGAAGGAAAAAATAGTATCTTTATGAGAAAACTAGATTTTTGCCTTTTAAAGTAGAGGAATGAATGAATAGATGCTTTGCTGTGTGTAGTTTTAGTTCTGCTATAGAATATATAAAAATGAACTCCTGTCCTTTACTGTCAGAAAGCCTCATACAAATCTGAAATGTTATCTGCATTCTATTCCAGGCTGACCTCTGTGTCCCTCGACTGAATGAAGGGGACCAAGTTGTACTGATCAATGGCTGGGATATTGCAGAACATACCCACGATCAAGTTGTCCTTTTTATCAAAGCTAGCTGTGAGAGACATTCTGGGGAACTTGTGCTTCTAGTTCGACCTAATGGTAAGTTCTTTATGTACATTTAATATTTGTCATATATATTACTGTTTTATTGGACACAGCAGCCAGAGTGGGCTTTTTAAAAGCATGTTGTGTCACTTTCTTGCTCAAAGATAGTATCTTCCATTTATTCTTGGAGAAAAATCCAAATTCCTTTTTTTTGTTTTTGTTTTTTTGAGACAGGGTCTCACTATGTAGTTGAGACTGACCTGGAGCTCACTATGTAGCCCAGGCTGGTCTCGAACTCACAGCGATCCTCCTACCTCAGCCTCCCGAGTGCTGGAATGCCAGCACAGGTGTGTGCCACCACACCCAAATTCTTGACACCTGTATTTCCCACACAGCCTTGCTCATTCCCTTCTCTTGTACACTGGTTTCCTTACTGTTCCTTAAATATTCCAATCTAATCTACTTTAGGGTCTTTATACTCAACAAACTCTTCTTGATTTTTCTTTGTTTTATACCCTTAATTCAGATCTCTGTTAAAATGCCATCCTCAGAAAGGCTTTCTCTGTTTATATTGTCATAGCTAAATTTTGTCTGAGCATAGCTAAAGTGGCCTCCCTCTTTTGCAGTTGTTTTAGTAGCATGTAATAAATACATACTGGATAAACGAATAAAGTTTGAATTTTGTTTTACTTACAGAAAACTCTGTAATACACTATAGGTAAAACAGGTTTGTTTGTTTGTTTTTTTATTTTTATATTTTCAGTTTATGTTGCCCACTGCCTAACCATGTCATCTCCTTGTCCGGATATCTGGCTTGTTAATTTCTAATCATGGAGCCCTAGGTTTGGCGAAACATTAAACACCATAAGCTCCAGCTCCTTTGCCCATTGCATGACTTTCCTCTACAGCCACATGAAAAGATCCCAATGAAGTAGAGTACTCAGTGGCCCCTGGAGCAAAGCGTCCTGCCTTTGGAGAGCTTGGACCGTGAAGTGAACGGAAAGTCACATTGTTCCTAATTCTATCACTTTGTGCTCTGCAGAATAAGTTTAATCCTCCAGTTTTTCAACAGTAGCTAATTTTACTAGACACACTTCCCTCTTTCTCTAAAGTCTTCAGCTGGTGTTCAGAAGACATTGTTCATTGTTTTCAAGTTTCCTGAATGGCCAGGGATTTAGCTCAGAGGTTTCGCCACCTGTCCCACAAGCACAAGTTTGATCCCCGGTACCGGAAAAAAAAAAAAGATAACCTCAAGTTCCCTGAACACTTTTACCAGTCTCCTTTAAGAAAAAAGTCCCAATACGATAGCAGTATACTTAGTTGTATAGTTTTTTCTGGATGGTTTACTGTTAGTCATAGTTATAGCCACTATAATATTTGGCTAAAGTCGTGTTACCGCTTGTTGAATCTATACCACAAAAAAGTAAAATGTAGTTAGAATTCTGCTTAGTTAGAATTCTGCTTATTGTTCATCATACCCAACTCTGCAAAATTTTACAAGAAAGTTAATTTTTATTAAAAAAACAAACTGGGCATGGTAGCAAGTCTGTAATTCCAGCTACATGGGAGGTAAAGGCAGGAAGATTGAAAGTTTGAAGCCAGCCTGAGCAACTTAGTGATACCATGTTTTTAAAATTTAAAAAGGTAAGGGATACTAGGAATGTAGCTCAGTGGTAAAGTACCTCTGGGGTTCATTTCCCCAAGAACAACAACAACAAAATTTCTTTTTATCTCTTGGCTAAAAACTGGCATTTTCATTTTTATCAACGTTATGTTTTTCTCCCTTAATGGCCTAGAGTTTGCTTTTTAGTAAGATTAAAAAGACTTCACCAAAACATTCTATTTTGTTTTTTTTTAAAGGAACTTGATACTGAGGTGATTCACTCATTGCTAGGCATTTTTATTTTAATCACATAAAGCTTATTAAATTCTATATCAAGAAAAACATTCTCTCAATTTTATTTATCTGTCTCTTACAATGGGTCCTAGAGACCTTAAAATATGAATAACAATAGGTAACAGTGTCTTAAAAGCTTTCTGTATACTCAGTCCCTTTTTTGTATTCACATTTAATCTTCATACCAGACAGTGTGATAGAAAAATTCTCCTCATTTAAGTTGAAGACACTTTGGCACATGTGTTTAGTTATCTGCTCATAGATTGATAAATGGTTTGGAGCCAGAATATTAACAAGTCTATATGATGTCAAAGGTTTAGTATTTTTGCAGTTTCACATTGCCTCACTTATGCTTTTTTTTTAAATTGAGTTTATTGGTACATTTTAGGTATACAGTACAGTTACATTCAATATTGGGATCTTGTACCTTTACATGACAGGTCTTGGTTCTCATTTTTTTCTCTTGTCCCTGCCCTCCCCATTTACAAACACTTTATTTCCATTTTCTCATTTTCTCATTACCTTTTCCCTACCTTTCCCACTTTCCCTTTTAGCCCTTTTCTTCCTATTTCACATTGTCAATTATCTCATTAGGATCTTATGTACTATTATAATTTTTCATATTGAGGATATACTCCTAAGTGAAATAAATAAGTCACACATGTGTAAATACTGAACAGTTTCTCTGATGTGAAAAACATGCTTTGAATTAGGAGATGAACCCATGTAGGGCCTACTTCTTGCAGAATATACTTTTTCTTTTTAAAGTGCTGAGGATCAAACTCGGGGCCTCCCACATGCTAGGCAAAAGAACTGCCACTGAGCTGTATTCCCACCATGCAAAAGATCTTTCTAACATTGTTTCGTAGTTAAAATCTGGACCAGGACCTCTATTCATTTTCAGTGTGGGTCTGTCATATCTATTTTTACTTAAAGTATCTTATAATCAAAATTTTAAATTGTAATTGCCAAGAATATACTTTTGCTTTTCTGGACTTTATTCCTTTCTCATTTCTTCTTAGGCAAAATATACTCGTACCTTTTTGTCTTTTATTCTTTATTTCAGTAATTTTTCTCAAAAATACATGTATAACTGAGGAGCAACCAGACCTCTAGACAAGGGTAAAAGAGGCTTCTGTCTTGGCTCCATATTTTAGAAGGCCCTGCTCTACCCTTTGTTCTGCTATGCTTCTTCCTAGAATTAAGATTTTATAGGACCTAGTAGACATGTTAAACTGTCACTTGTAACCTCTTCTCTATTTTTAAAGCACTTTTTTCAGCCTTTAGTTCTCTGTTCTAATAGCTCTAAGCCTACTTCTAAGGCTTTCAGGGACATTTTCCGGTGGTTCATTTTTTCCAATAATGGATAACATGGTATGTTCCTAGGCCAGCAGGGTTGCTGAGAGGCAACAGTTGGCAGAAGAGGAGCATAGTCAAAGCTTGCATGTGGGTTAGGTTATTCACATGTATATTTACAGGTCTCCATGTTAAAGAATAGAGTTGATAAGAGGAAAAGAAGTAGGGTCGGTTACAGGCCTGCAGAACGAATTTTTGCCTAGAATTCTCATTTGAAATTTAGCCTTTCAGGTTGTTTTATAGAAAGAGAATGGAGCATTTTTTGTTTAGTCCTGCATTCATTTTATTTGTAACTTACATTTAGTGGATATACTTCTATTTGGGGTGCTTCTTAAATGTCATTTCAAGTAACAGACATTTTCAGCATATGGCCAAGAATGCTCTTTTCCCCCACAGATGTATCAAAACACTTCAACCCCACAGCCACTCTGGGTCCCTGTAGAGTAACACCAAACACATAGCTGGTATAATTATTCATAAATGAATTATTTTACTGACAAAGCTAAAGAACATATTTGGTAAGTTCTTATCATAAATTCCATTAAGATTTCTATGTCTTTTTGTTTTGTTAAGCTGTATATGATGTAGTGGAAGAAAAGCTAGAAAATGAGCCAGACTTCCAGTACATTCCTGAGAAAGCCCCACAAGACAGCGTCCATCAAGATGACCATTCTTTGAGGGAATCGATGATCCAGCTAGCTGAGGGGCTAATCACTGGAACAGTTCTGGCACAGTTTGATGTAAGTAATGTCAGTTGTATGGAAAAATACTTTCTAGTTAGCTTCATGGCTTCTTAACTGTGTGATCTATTATCCATTATAATTTATAAACTAAAATGGTGTCCTGAGAAATATTTGACATCAAAAGAGTTCCAAAATCGAGTCATTTAAATTGCTCCCATAATAGTTATAATAGTTATAGTTATATAAATATATGTCTGTTTTAAAATGGAGATAAAGAAATTTTATATATATGTCATCAAAGTACTATTTTTCTATAAATAAGTAGCTGTTTTTATGAAAGCATACTAGGATAGGATACTATTGACTTAAAAATCCTGGGTTAAAGGAAAACAACTTACAGATTTGAAGTTTACACTTTGTCAGATTTAATCTTTCTCTAATTGTTGTCAGTGCACTCTTGAAAATTCTCAGACCACTGTATTGGAAGAATAGAATGCAGCCCAGTGTAGTGATGCATGCCTGTAATCCCATTACTCCTGAGAGGCTGAGGCAGGAGGATTGCAAGCTTGAGCCCAGGCTGGGCAACTTACTGACTTAGCAAGATCCTGTCTCAAAATTAAAAAGGGTTGGCAATATGGCTCACTGCAGAGGCCCTAGGTTCAATCCCCAGTACAGGGAAAGGAGGAAAAAGAAGAAAGGATAGACAGATGTACAAGAATGCTTCTTGAGTGCTGTAACTAGTATTTTGGTTGGTGAGGATACCATGGATTTTGAAATGCTATATTCGGAATGTGTAAACTTAGTTTAATTTAATAAAACTGGAAGATTTTTATTGTGTTTTCAAAATTGCTGTCATGGGCTGGAGATTTAGCTCAGTGGTTCTGCCGCCTGCCTTGAAGGCACAAGGATCTCCAGTACCCCCCCAGATTGCTGTCATATTTGTTGCTCATATTTGTTGTCATTTTTGTTTGTTATAGAGAAGTTATTGCAGTTATAAAACAGGATACATGTTAATTTTTCTTCTAAAAAGTTGTTAGTTCATGTTATTAAAAATTGCAGGTGCCTCTAGTGTAAGCAAAATCGTTTACACTTGTTTTATTGCTTTTCAAAATATGGGATATAACTCACAAGAAAAACTGCAGAACTCAGGCTTGTGATTGTTTCAATGCTCTGTGTATTATTAGTACACCATTGTGTAGTTGAAGTATTCAATGGAAAAAACCTGTTTCCTGTTAGTATACAGAGAAGTCTGTAAAACAAAACAAATTTTTGATGGCTTATTCAACTGATACTTTTTTTTTTAAGCAACTGTATCGGAAGAAACCTGGAATGACAATGTCTTGTGCCAAATTACCTCAGAATATTTCCAAAAATAGATACAGAGATATTTCGCCTTGTAAGTATCTGTCATCTCTGTTAAATTTAACATTTTTAACAAAAACATATTAAAATGTTATTTCTAGGCTGGGGATGGTGGAATGTGTACTTAGCATATACAAGACCCTGGCTCCATCTCCAATACCAAAACCAAAACACCTCATTATTTCTTTGAAATTTTTTCAGATGATGCTACACGGGTCATTTTAAAAGGTAATGAAGACTACATCAATGCAAACTATATAAATGTAAGTGTTTTTTAAAATTCTGTTTTACTGTTTGAAATAAATGGCCAGTATAAATTTTGAGATTAATGCCCCTTTTTTTGAGAGGCTAACCTTAATAGAAAATTTAAATTTCCAGATACTGAAGAATATTACCAAAGTAATGTTTAAGAAACTTGTCTGGGCCGAACATGGTGGCGCACACCTGTAATCCCAGCACTTGGGAGGCTGAGGGAGGAGGATCACTGTGAGTTCGAGACCAGCCTGGGCTACATAGTGAGTTCCAGGTCTGCCTCAACTACATAGTGAGACCCTGTCTCAAAAACCAAAAAAAAAAAGAAAGAAACTTGTTTGGTACTAGTATATAATACACAGGTAGAGCAGTAAAACAGAATAGTCCAGTCCAGAATATTAGAACTTAGATTGATCTGAATATTAGAACTTTGTGTACAGCAGAGGTAGCCTTTTAAATCACAGAGGTAAAATAGGCCATGTGGTTAATGGATTGAGTCAGATATGTACAATATATCATTATAAAAAGAGCCCCCCCACCACTGGGGAGTGGAAGGAAAGGTTCACTATCTTTTTCTTAATTTTGTAGTGTAAAAATTTTGAACCCATATATATATATATATATATATATATATATTCATATATTCATACACACATCATTCAGCTTCAGTAGTTGTTAACTCCTGGCCAGTCTTATTTCATCTTTATCCTCACATCCAGATTGTTTTGAAGCAGATTTATATATCATATTCATCTATAATTATTTCACATGCTCTAGATACTATATTCAAAACATATCAAATGCAAATATAAAAATTAGATTGTGTTGAGCCAGGTGTGGTGGTGCTCACCTATAATTCCAGCAGTTGGGAGGATAAGGCAAGAGAATCACAAGGTCAAGACCAGCCTTGGGCTTCATAGTGAGATCAAGCCATCCTGAGCTAAAAAGCAAAACCCTGTCTTAAAAAAAAAATTTTGTGTGTGTGTGAAAACACTTGAAAGAAGTCTGTGAAAATCAGTTAATATTTCAGAAAAGGGAAGATCTTTCAAAGCTTAGGTATATATCTACACTAAAAAGAAACAATTGATGAATTTGTCAATGTAAATTTTAAAATTTTTTATATGATTAGAAAGTACTGAAATCAAATGACAGAGTCTTAAAAATATTACAAAAAGCTTATTTAGTAATTGTACAAAGAACTCTATAAATGATGTAGCAAAGCAAAGACTGGTTAATATAATGGGCATAAGACATTGAAAAATGGTTCAAAAAAAGGAAATGCAAGCGATATGTTAAATTTTGTGACTATTTTCAAATGTATAAAAGTATAATATAAATAGTCAATCTATAGGGGCCAGGGATTTAGCTCAGTGGTTCTGCCACCTGCCTCACAAGCACAAGGACCTGAGTTTGATCCCCAGTACTAAAAAAAAAAAAAAAAATAGTCCATCTATGAATATGTATCTGTTACCCAGCTTCAAGAGCTATCAACAAATGGCCAATCTTGTTTTATCTAAGCATTACTCTCTAAAGTATTTTTTAAGCCCAAGTGCATACCTTTATTTGTAAATATGGACAATTCTCATTATTTAAAGTAGTTATGGGCTGGGGATTTAGCTCAGTGGTTCTACCGACTGTGTCACAAGCTCAAGGACCTGAGTTCAATCCTTGGTACCAAAAATAAATAAATAAATAAGTTCTGACGCATGAAGTCTTTGCAAATACTGAATTAGTGAATTATTAATTCTAAAACAAATATAGATTCCCTGAAGCCTCTAGTCACAGTATTTTCATCAACTGATCAATACATAAATTTGTTTCTGTTTGAAGACAGCTTCTTTAATATATATTGTTGATTCGTTTTAACATTGAATGTATCCCTAAAGGAAGCTTATCTCTAACACATTTGTACATGAGCCACATCACAGCTTCAACACTGTATTTGTAAGCAAGAAATCACCAACAAAAAACACAAAAATGTGGCGCTACCTACCCTGCAAAAGGCCATTTGTTTTCAGGATGACATTTGAAATCAGAGGCATAGCGTTGCCGCCTTTGTCATCAGTTGGAAATATGCACATCTGGTGGTTCAGATTTTTCAAGGCTCTGAGCATACTTACAAGTGACCAAAAAGCCCTACAACTGTCTTGAGGTTGTATATAAACTTTCACAAGTGGTCAAATTGGCAAATGCAAAATTTGACGAGGATAGACTGCTTTAATATGTTAGTTACTCTAATAAGGGCTTTTTTTTAAAGGCAAAACCATAGTGGCATTATAACACTTAGAAAAATATCAAACAATTTACACTTAATTTACCAAAAAGGAAGATATAAATCAAAATAGCAAGAACTACTGGTTTTTCACCTACGAAACTGAAAGATTAAAATTTGATGGTAATATATTACAGGTCCACATCCTTTATCTGAAACCTTGGGATCAAATATGCTTAGAGTCAGCATTTTTGGGCTTCTAAAAGGTTACTTGGTTCATTATACATATACTGTCATAAGTAACATCTGTAGATTATGGGACAAGTGCCCTGTAACAAGTTTCAATATATGTAGACAATCTACAGCAAACTGTAGATATCCCAACTAAGTGGTACTAATAAAGAATATAAATAATCTGAGGTCAGTGAAGGTCACGTTTTGCTTGGGCCAGGTAAAAAGCATTAAAGTTCAGACATTTGAAAATTTCAGAATTGTAGACAAGCAATTATGTATATATTAAAAAGTATTCATATACATTCTTGGTAGAAGCATAAATTGGTAGAACCTCTTTGGGTAGCAAAATCTTACATATATATTTATTATCGTTATCATTATTATCTGGTATTCTTATTTATTTCTATTGTCTTTACAGATATATTTTTATGTTTGCACAGAATTACTAGGCTTAACAAAAGTATTCAGTTCATCCTTGTTATTGTTAGCAAAGAGAAAAGCACTAAATGTCTTTTAAACAAGTTACAGTGTATTTATCCAGAAAAGCCATTTAAAAGAATGAAATTATATGTATTGATTTGACATAACCTCAGAAAAAATAAGCTGTCAAACATAATAAGATACTATTTTTTAAATAGTTTTACAGAAAAACAAGAAGATATTTTTACATCTACATCTCTGGGCTCTGTGTAGTATATCTCTAAAAGGGTATATTAAAAACTGGGAAAAATGATAGCCCTCCTGGGTATTACCTAGAGGAGGGGATGGGAGGAAAACTTCTTGCTCTCTTCTGATAAATATTCTTTGAATCAACAGTGCATGTATCACTTTTTTATTTTCAACCTCAAATGTAGTAAAATGACTCATCTTCCACAAATACTCATTGTCTTACCTTGTTTTTAAAACTGTGAGTTTAAATATGCTTTAAAGTTGTTTTAAATGCAAAATCCAAGCTCAAACGACAAGTGGCAGAAAATTTACTAATAAGCTACTTACAAGGTAGGTATTTTTTATTTTTTTATTCTGTTTCTGAAACGGTTCTCCATAGAGTTGCTTTTAAAACCATTATATTGTTTTGGAAAATATTCATATTTAAATCCCTCTTTCTACTAATTGAAAAATAATTATGTGTAACTATTGGGTATTGCTATGAAATTTCTTGTACAGATAAAATTGATTGTTTTGCTGATTACAGTTTATTAAGAACAGTCATGTTCAATTTAACAGTAAGTTGGTAGATGGTTTTCATATTCCCAATTATAGTAAAATCATGTATTGCAAAAGATTTTACTTTAATGTCCTTTTCTATTTAGATGGAAATTCCTTCTTCAAGTATTATTAATCAGTACATTGCCTGTCAAGGGCCATTACCACACACTTGCACAGATTTTTGGCAGATGACTTGGGAACAAGGCTCCTCTATGGTTGTAATGTTGACCACACAAGTTGAACGTGGCCGAGTAAGTCCTAGTTGAATCTCACATACTGCTTGGACTTTTTTCAAATTACAGTTGTGTATATAATCAAAATATTCCCATGGATTGATCTTTTGTAACATTTCATCTCTTTGCTTATAGTTTTATGCTATAAATCATCATGGTTTAGTGCATAATAAAACTGTGACTAACACATGATGAATGTGACATAAAACCATTGTTATCGTTTAAAAGGATTAATGTAGCTGGGTTTGGTGGCCCATTCCTATAGTCACTCTGGGAGGCTGACACAGCCTCCAAGATGAAGCCCAGCCTGGGCAATTTAACTTATTGAAATTCTGTCTAAAGAATAAGAATGAATGTGTATCTAATGGGCTTGTGTCTAAATACAGTGATACCTCAGTTCACGAACTCACTCCGTGATTCTGGTTGCAAACCAAACTGGACAAGAATCACATTTCCACATAAGGTCAACATTGAACCTAACCATTGAATTTGATTTTGGTTATCATTCAACTTGGTTTGCAACCAGAATCATGGAAAGAATCAATTTAGTGAACCCAGGTATATATATAGAACTCTTAGAGCTTTACAATAAAATGACAACCAAATTTTAAAAAGGGGAAAAGTCAAAAAGGAGGAGGGAGTATTTGAATAAATATCATTACTGATCAGAGAAATACAAATTAAAATTATAGTGAGATATGACTTCATATCCAGTAGCTTACATAAAAATGACAATAAAAGTGTTGTTCATGAAGTGGAGAAAATGGAAGCTCATATACTGTTTATGGATTTGTAAACAGTACAGTTACTTTGAAAAAGTCTGGCAGTTCCTCAGAAAATTAAACATAGAATTACTGTAATTTTGTGGTTTCATTACTAGATCTACCCAAGAGAACTAATAATATATGTCCACAGAAAAATTTGTTTATGAAGTCAGGCATCATGACACATTGAGGCAGGAAGATTGTGAATTCAAGGGTACTCTGGACTGTATGTCAAATTTGAGGCCAACCTGTACTAGATAGGACTTGTCTCAAATGCAAAATTTTTTTTTGTTCTTCAACATTCATATCAGCATTATTCATCTTAGCCAAAAAGTGAAAATAACTTAAATAAAATCTGATATATTCATAGAGTTCAATATTTTTGGCAATAAAAAGCAACGATATATGCTACAATATGTTAGCTCTAGAAAACATGTTAAGTGAAAAAAATTAGACAGCATATTGTATGATTCCATTAACATGAAATATTTAGAATAGGTAATTCTATAAGGGCAAAGAGCAGAGTAGTGGTTGCCTAGATCTAGGCTGGAGAAAGAAGGATGGATAGGGTATAATACAACAATGGCTATTTATGAATTATAGAGATATTATGGATATAGCAAAAATATTCTAAAAGTGATCGTGGTAATAGTTGCATAATTCTGAATATACTAAAAACAATTAAAACCTTGAAATGAGTGGCTGTATAATCATGAATTGAATGTCATTAATGCTAATAAAATTTGTAAAAACGCGTTAGTAGTATAGCTCAGAGACTCTTGGTTTAATCTCCAGCACTGAAAAGAGTCTTAGAAATTTGTTCAGGAAATTTGCAAATTATGACTAGATTGCTTACTAGTACAAAGGGTAAAAAATTACACAAAAAATAGTAAATAGATTGAGGTGAGGAGTACAGGAAAATTCATTATTGTTAAGCCTATTTGTAAGTTTAAAAGTTCTAAAAAATTGAAACATTTAAAAATTTTAAAAATATATAATTTTGTTTGTTTAATTTTGTTGATACCAGGTTAAATGTCACCAGTACTGGCCAGAATCCACAGGAAGTTCATCCTATGGATGTTACCAAGTCACCTGCCACTCGGAAGAAGGAAACTCTGCTTATATCTTCAGGAAGATGACACTATTAAACCAAGAGGTAAAAAAAGCAAAATATCATTCATTAGAGCTGTTGTGTTCAAGATAGATATAGAAAGTTGAAAATGTTTTTAGTCTGAAATATTTGTCTGCTTCAGTGCAATACTTTGGAATTTATGAATACTATTCCCCTGTGTCATAATGTATTCCATTTCTGCCACTAAATATGAGTAGTCAATGAGAAAGAAATCTGGTAAATAATACTAGTATTTTGCCTATCCATAGCTATTATACAAGGAATGTATTTGAGTATGAAAAAATTCTTATTCCAAGTGCTCTCAGTGGAGTATTGGGGAATATCTGTGGAAATAGAAAAAAAATTAATTAAAATGTGTCAATTTTTTAAAAGAGAAAAGGACAGCAACTTCACAATCCCCTCAGTATATTAAGAAAGAAAAAATCATAAGTAAGACCTTTGACAACAGATAGGTTGGAGCTTTCTAACTGCCAGCTGGGTCCCTCACCTTAGCTTCCAAAGCCAAAAATGGAGCCTGATTAATAATGGTGACTCAGTGTCCCTACTGGAAGATGTATGTAGAAGGCAACAGTGGCCTTAGTACTGAGAGGCTGCTAGAGACTGTGTACTCCATATTCACTGCCCACAGCTAGATACTCACTTGTCAGCCACCTGTGATTTTGAAAGGGGCCGAAAGAAAAAGGAAGTAACTCTGAAGAGCAAGCAACTAGGCTGTGAAGGTCCAGTCCCCTCCCATCAAAGGTTAATAAGCCTTTGGAAATGAGAATTCACCTCTATTTTAAGGATATGCATACAGCAGACCAGTGAGACAGGGCTTTTCTGACCAACAAGGAAAGGAGCCAAAAGTCACGCTCATTTAAGAAAAAGGAATCTAGCATGGAATGATGCTAAAGTGACTAGAGTTAAAAAGTTAAATTTCATTTAAATGAGAAGGAGTTTCAGACTTCGGGACATAAACTGTATAGCTCATGGTCTAATGCAACAGATCAAGCCAATAAGATATTTTCCAACTAGATAATGAAAAATGACTTCATAATCTTGAAAGACCTGTTACTGAACATAGGATGCCAAGTTAACTGAGTAATATACAGATGTTCTCCTGGAGTCAACATAAGATTGTCGGCTCATAGAGGTATAAATGTCATTTCATTTTTCAAGTGAAGAAATTGAGACTGACATTATTGCATGCCATAAACAGACGAGTCATGATTTGAGTCAAGATGCATCTAAATCCAGTGCTCTTAGTCTTTCTTCATAGTACCCATCATTGGCTTCATGTTTTTATGATCTTCTCCAATATGTTTGTATGTATGTTTTTTATTTACTGGGTGTTGAACCTAGTGTCTTCACACTGAGCTACATCCCCAGCCTGTTTTTATTTTGAGACAGGATCTCACTAAATTGCTAAATTGCTCAGCCTAGGTTTTGTGTCTGTGATCCTCCTGACTCTTGTCTTCCAGAGTGCAGAAATGATAGGCATGTACCACCATGCCTGGCGTATCACCTCCAGTTTTTAATCTATATTTATTTGAAGATATTTTTTCTAAAATTTCAATTCTGTCCTCAGAATTAGGCCAATTTGTTCCCCAAAAAATGTTTATTTTACCATCTTGTTCACCTAATGGTTCTATAGTTAATCTTTAAGCATTTCTCTGTATCTTAATTTATTTTTGCCTGTTTATTTTATAACCATCTTAAAAATATAGAAATTGAGATATGGAGAAAATAGTGATAAGAGCCAGTAATTAAATGACAACTGTTTCTTAGCTGTTGTGGTGGCATGTACCTGCAATCCCAGCACTGGGGAGTCTGAGGCAGAAGGATGGCCAGCTTGGGCTATATATTGAGATCCTGCCTCAAAAATAAACAAACAAATAAATTTTAAAAATGGTGTTTTTCTTTGTTGACATGTAGGTTTTAGTAGATTTATACATTATTGGGACGGGGTAATTAGTTTTTCTTTCTGAAATTAAAATAACATGAGTACTGTATTTATTTATAATGGTAATTCCCAAGTCAAGGTGCATAATTTTTCTTTTGCACTTAGAAAAATGAAAGTCGTCAACTCACTCAGATCCAGTATATAGCCTGGCCTGACCATGGAGTCCCTGATAATTCAAGTGACTTCCTGGACTTTGTGTGTCATGTACGAAATAAGAGGGCTGGAAGAGAAGAGCCTATTGTTGTTCATTGCAGGTATTATATTTCCTGTCTTTTATGAATGAATAACTGACATGATATATCATGTTTGAAATATAGTATGTACATTATTTTTTCTTTGTGTTGTAATTATTATTGAGAGAATTCAAAAGCTGTGCTCTGAAGATAGAAGGCAAAGAAGATATTCTAACATAATTGGCAGAAACTTTATGATAAGTGATAAAAATAATAGATATTAATGGGGTATGGTGATGCACACCTGTAATCCCAGTACCTAGGGAGACTGAAGCAGCAGGATCACAAGTTTGAGCCCAGCCTAGGCAACTTAGCAACTTAGCGACTGTGAATGTAGCTCATTGCAGAGGCCCTGGGTTTAATCCCTATTCCTACTATTAATAAAACTATTTCACTGATTTTTAGAAGCTTTTCATTTTTTATTCATTGATTATTAGTACAGTTTAGATACACAATATGATGACATTCATCATTGGGAATTTGTACCTTTACATGATATATCTTCATTCTTATTTTTTTCACCAATCCCCTGCCCTCCCTTCAACCCCTCCACCCCTCCCTAGTTACCAAGGCTTTGTTTCCATTTTTTCCTTTTCTCAAATTTATTCCTTTAACTTCTTTCCTTTCTCCTCCCCTCCCACTTCTCCTTTACCCCTTTTCTTACTATTTCACATTATTTGTTAGGCCTTTTGATCCTTGTTTACACTTTCAGTTTTTCACACCAGAGAAATTACAGTACTTACACATGTGTGTCTTATTTATTTTACTTACGAGTATGGCCTCAATGTGCATCCATTTAGCTATAAATGTCTCTAGTTTCTTGTTCTTTATGGCTGAATAGTACTCCATTTTATAAAAAACCCCACATCTTCATCCAGTCTCCAGTTGATGAACAATTGGGCTGTTTCCAAGTTTTAGCTATTACAAACTGTACCACTGTAAACATGGGTGTACATACATTGCTGTGGTATGATTCTTTTAATTCTTTTGGGAAGATACCCAGCAGGTGGATAACTGGGTCAAATGGAACCTCTAGTCCCAGCTCCTTGAAGTATCTCCATATTAATTTCCACAGTGGTTGCACCAGTCTACACTGCCACTGACAGTGGAGAAGGGTTCCCTTTTCCCCATAATTCGTCCAGCATTTGTTATTGGTTGATTTCTTGAAGGCAGCCGTTCTTTCTGGATTGAGGTAGAATCAGCATTGTTTTCTTTACATCTCTTGTATGACCAGTGATGTTGAACATTTTTTCATATGTTTATTTGCTGTTTGTACTTTGAGAAATGTCTGTTCATTTCAGATGCCCATTTTTGGATTTGGTCTTTAAATTTAGGAGGTCTACTTTTTTAAGTATATTTTTTAAGTTTGTTTTTGTGTTTGTTTGTTTGTTTGTACTGGGTATTGACCTCCTCGGGAACCTTAGCTTTTGAGGCAGACAGCAGCATCACTGAGCTAAATCCCCGGCCCTCTTTATATATTTTAGGTAGTAGAGCTTTGTCTGAGGAACAGCTGATAAAAATTTTTTCCTGCATTATGGGTTGTCTTTTCACTTTGTTGGTGGTTTCTGTTGCTGTGCAGAAGATTTTTAATAAGATGAAATCCCAGTTGTTGATTCTTTGTGTTAATTCACATGCAACTGCAGTTTTGTTCATGAAATCTTTTCCTACAACAGTGTCTTCAAGAGTTCCACCTAACCTCTCTTCCACCCGGTTTTGTGTTTCTGTTTTAATATTTAGATCTTTGATTCATTTTGATTTTAGTTTAGTGCATGGTGAGAGATATAAGTCTAGTTTTAACCCTTAACAAGTTGAAACCCAGTTTTTCCAGCGCCATTTATTAAAAAGGCTATCTTTTTTCCAGTGAGGGTTTTTGGCCCCTTTGTCAAAGATGAGGGGCTCTGAGTTTATCTGGAATTGTTTCTGCATCTTCTAATTGATTTCTGCTGTTTTTCAGGACTGTTTATTTGCCAGTACCATGCTGTTTTTATCCCAGTAGCTTTGTAATACAGTTTCAAGTGAGTGATTGTGATACCCTCTGCTTTGTCTTTATTACCTAGAATTACTTTTGCTATTCTAGGTCTCTTATAGTTTCAAATGAATTTTTTTGGATTGTTTTCCAACTTCTGTTAAGTATGCCGTTGGAATTTCAATTGGGATTGCATTAAATCTATATGTCAGTTTTGGAAGTATGGCCATTTTCACTATATTGGTTCTTCCTATCCAGAAACAAGGGATGTCTCTCCATTATTCTGATATATCCTCTTTGATCTATTTTTTTTTTTTTTTTTTAGAGTGCCATAGTTTTCAGAGTAGGGGTTTTTTTTTTTTTTTTGGTTTTTTTTTTTTTTTTTCAGACAGGGTCTCACTATGGAGTTGAGGCTGATCTGGAACTCACAGCAATCCTCCTGCCTCAGCCTCCTGAGTGCTGGGATTACAAGCATGCGCCACCATGCCCGGCAGTCTTTGATTTCTTTTATTAGGTTGATTCCTAGGTATTTCTTTCTTTCTTTTTTTTTTTTATTCTATTATGAAAGGAGTTGTTTCTCCAGTTCCTGTTTCAGTTAATCTATTTGTGTATAGGAAAGCTATTGATAGTTGTGTGTTGACCTTGTATCTAGCTACTCTGCTAAATTTGGTTATTAAGTCTAGAAGACTTCTGGTGGAGTTCTTGGGGTCTTCTTATATAGAGTATCATGACGTCTGCAAATAATGACAATTTAACTTCTTCATTTCCTATCCTTTTTCCCTTTATTTCTTTCTCTTTAATTGCTGTGGCTAATGTTTCCAGAACTATATTGAACAGTAGTTGTGATAGTGAACATCCTTGTCTTGTTCCTGATGTCAGAAAGAAGAATTTTTGTTTTTGACATTGATGATGTTTTTGATGTATGAAGTTGGCTGTTGGTTTTTCATAAATGGCTTTTATCAGGTTAAGATAAAGACCATCTATTCCAATTTTCTGTTGGGTTTTTATCATGAGTGGGTGTTGGATTTTGTCAAATGCTTTTTCTGCATTAACATGATCATGTGGGGGCCTGGGATTTAACTCAGTGGTTCAGCCACCTGCCTTGTAAGCACAAGGACCCGAGTTTGATCCCTGGTATAAAAAAAAAAAAAAAAAAAAAAAGATCATGTGGTTTTTGTGCTTGGCTCTGTTAATATAGTCTATTACATTTATTGATTTGTGTATGTTCAACCATTCCTTCATCCCTGGGATGAATCCCACTTGGTCAGGGTGTATGATCTTCTGCATTCTGCCAGGATCTTATTAAGGATTTTTGCATCTATGTTCATTAGTGAGATTGGCCTATAGTTCTCATTTTCAGTTCTGTCTTTCTCTGCTTTTGGAATCAAGGTGATGCTTGCTTCCAGGAATGAATATGGGAGTGTTGCTTCCCTTTCTATTTCATTGAAGAGTTTAAAAAGTAGTAGCAGTAGTTCTTCTCTAAATGTTTTGTAGAATTCAGCAGTGAAGCCATCAGGACCCAGGCTTTTCTTGGTAAGTTTTTAATTATGTTCTCACTTTTGATTGATATTGGGTTGTTTAGGATTTTAGGTCTTCTTCATTCAACTTTGATAATTCATATGTATCTAGAAATCTGTTCATTTCTTCTGTTTTCAATCTTTTTGCAATATAGGTTCTCAAAGGTACCTATCCTCTGGATTTCTGCTCGGCCCATTGTAATTTCACCCTTTTCATTCCTAATTATATGGAGTTGGGCCTTTTCTTTCCTTTTTTGGATAAGGTTGGCTGTTTGTCTATTTTGTTTATTCTTTGGAATAACCAACTCTTTGCTTTATTAATTTTTTTGTATCATTTCCACTCTTTAATTTTCAGTCTTTGAGTTTCTTTTTGAATTAAGTGTGTTTCTTGTATATAGCATATTGTTGGATCTTGCTTCTTCACCCATTGTGCCTGTCTGTTTCTTTTGATTGGTGAATTGAGACCATTACCATTGATGCTTATAACTGATATGTATTGACTTATCCTTGTCATGAATTTTTCCAAATAGTAGTATGTATTGACTTACACTTGTCAGAACTTTTTCCTGTTGTTAGATTGTCCCCTTTGCATTTAATTTCTTGTCTTGCCTGATGGATTCATTTTGCTAGGCTTCATGGAGTTGTGACTCTCAATTGTCTTTTCCTAGGATATTGTTTAAAAGTTTTTGGACTGCTGGTTTGATATTCTTGAAGTTCCTCAGATTTTCTTGAAGCTTTTCATTTTTAGTATCTCTGAAATTGGAACATTTCTCTCTCAATGGATTATAATTTAGATCTGATGAAATACAGTATTGTAGGTTGTCTCTTTGTCTATAACAAAATTCCTAAGATTTGGTAATTTTGAAAGACAAAAATTTCTTTTTTTTTCCTTCCAGTATCAGGGATCAAGCTCAGGTCCTTGCACTTGCCAGGCAGGTGCAGTACCACTGAGCTACATCCACAGCCCCAAAAATTTATTTCTTGTAGTTCTGAAGACTGAGAAGTCTGAGCTCAAGACTCTTGCAAATTTGAGGTCAGGTGAAGGATGCTGATTGCTTCCAAGATAGTGACTTATTTCTAAATCCTCTGAGGGGCCAAATGCCGTGTCTTCATAAGGCAAAAGGGATGGAAAGGACAGGGAGGTGAAACCACTTCCTCAAGCCCTTTTTATATGTAGCCTAATCCCATCTGTGAAGGCTCTACCCTCATCAGTTAATGAATTCCTACATGCCCCAACTCTTAATGTCACATTGAAGATTAAGTTTCAACATATGAATTTTGAGGCACATGTTCAGGCCCTGATATAGGCACCCAGTAGGAGACTTCTTCCTTACCGTGGCCCCTCTTAAAAATGTTCATTGAGGGCCAGGGAATGTTTCCGCCACCTTCCTTGCAAGTACAAGGACCTGAGTTGGATCTCCAGTAATGAAAAAAAATTTTTTTCATTGAGTACTCCCATCTCTTAGAATGACCCACCAAAATACTATTATGTAATTGTCTACTTCCAAGGGCTCTAGGTAAACAATGGTAGGCTGCAGATCCTTCCCTTCAATCCCAGGTGTCCCCTGCTTCCCTGAAGGAACCACATAAAACCTCCAGTGCCACTGACCAAAAGATTAGCAGCCAAGTTATTTCCTCCCTAACATAACCACGTGTTTAAGTGTTATATTTGGAGGACATATTGAGCTATCCTTTCCCTTAAATTTTCTAGCACATTTTGAGAGATTTTCAAATCATAAAAACAAATTATACAATGAATATTTGAGAGGCAGAACACATCCATTTCATTTTCCTAAGTCTTCATAGCTTCATGGTTAAAAATTAGACTTCCAAAAGTTCTTGACTCTCTCAGTGGTAAAGTTTATTAAAGTTAAATTTTGTTTAAAACATTAACTTATTTAAAGCATAAAATATTGTCTTTTACTTTTTTTTGTTTGTTTTGTTTTGGTACTGGGGATTGAACTCGCAACCTTATGTTAATTTATTATAATTCTATTATTTTGCATTTTTAAGGGAAGTTCCTCATTATGTTTATACCATTTCAGAAGTTTTGTTGTTGTTGTTGTTGTTTTGAGACAGGGTCTCACTATGTAGTTGAGACTGACCTGGAACTCACTATGTAGCCCAGGCTGGTCTTGAACTCACAGCAATCCTCCTACCTCAGCCTCCCAAGCCCTTTCAGAAGTTGAATTGTAGAGAATTGTGAGAAACTAGTTAGAAAACTTATATTCTAAGAAATTAGAGAATCTGAAAGAAATAAATTCTTAGATACATGAATTAGCAAAACTGAACCAAAAAGTCTCAAAATACTCTGAACAGACTGTAACATGCAGTGAAATAGAGACAATGATAAAAATTCTGCCAGCTAAAGAAAAGTCCAGTGGATTCACTGCTGAATTTTACCAGAACTTCAGGGAAGAACTAACCCAATACTTAAATTCTTCCATGAAACTGATAGGGAGGAATATAGCCATACTCATCCCTTGAAGCTAGCTAGCATTATTCTGATACCAAAACTGGACAAGAACTCAACAATAAAAGAAAACTATAGGCCAATTTCCTTAATGAAAATAGATGCGTGCTGGGGATTTAGCTCAGCAGTTCTGCCACCTGCCTCGCAAGCATGAAGACCTCAGTTCGATCCCCAGTACCCCCAAAAAAAGAAAAGAAAAGAAAATAGATGCAAAAATCCTTAACAAGGTCACTTGCAAACAGAATGCAACATTAAAAAGATCATACATCCTGACCAAGTCGCCCTCATCCCAGGGTTATAAGAATGTTCAACATATTTGTCAGTAATTTATACCACATAAATAGAAGTAAGAGTAAAAGTTATGTAATTATCACAAAGAATGCAGGAAAACACCTTTGACAAAGTCCACCATCCATTCATAGTACAAACCCTGACAAAAATAGGTAGAGAATGACCTCCCCTTAAGCCATTCATGACAAACCCACTGCCACCATCATATTAAATGAGGAAAAACTGAAAACATTCCCTCAAAAATAAGGAAGTCAAGGGTTTCCACTCTGATGACTCCTGTTCAAAATTTTGACTAGAACAATCAGGCAAGACAAAGAAGTAAATGGATATAAATATGAAAGGAGAAGTCAAAGTGTTTGTATTTCAAGATGACATGATTCTTTACAAGAAAGATCCCAAGGGTCAGAGATTTAGCATAGTGGCACTGTGCTTGCCTTGCAAGCATGATGGTCTAAGTTCAATCCCTGGTACTGGGAGAAAAAAATTCTCAAGCACGAGGTCCCGAGTTTGATCCCTGGTAACCCCCCACCAAAGAAAAAGATCCCAAAAATGATATCAGAAGACTCTTGGAACGAATAAAAAAATTTATCAAAGTGTCAAGATTCAAAATAAATAACCAAAAAAAAAAAAAATCAGTATTTCTTATATAACAGCAGTGAACTTACAAAAAAGAAATCGGGAAAAAAATGCCCTTCACAGTAGCTCCAAATACATACATACACACATAGGAATTAACCTAACCAAGGAAATGAAAGGCCATTATAACAAAAACCAGAGTGTCCTGAAAAATGTTTGACGACATTAGAAAATGGGAAGATGGGCCAGGGATTTAGCTCAGTGGTTCTGCTGTCTGCCTCACAAGCGCAAAGTCCTGAATTCAATCTCTGGTCCAAAAAAAAAAAAAAAAGAGAGAGAAAGAAAGAAAGACAAAAGGAATGGAAAGACATCCCCTGTCAACAGGCAGAAATAATATTATCAGTGCAATTCCAATCAAAAATACCACAAGAGGGCCAGGGGGTTAGCTCAGTGGCACTGTGCGTGCCTGGTAAGCATAAGGTCCTGAGTTCAAATTCTAATACCAGAAATGCAAACAGCATTCTTCACAGAACTAGAAAAAAGAAATTCTAAAATTTATATCGACCCAGAGTAGACTTAAAATTGCCAAAGCAGTTATGAATAAGAGCAAAGAGGAGGCATTGTAATTCTGGACTTCAAGTTATATTACAAAGCTACAACAATAAAAATATCACAGAACTAGCACAAAAACAGACATATCAACCAATGGAATACAGTAGAGGATGTAGAAACAACCCAGACACCTTAAACCATCTGATTTTTGACAAAGGGGTCAACAAATATATGCTGGAGAAAAGATAGCCTCTGTAACGATGAATGCTGGAAAAGTAGTTATCCATGTGCCGAAGAATGGAGCTAGATCCGTATCTTTCACCTTTTCCTAAAATGAAATCAAAATGGATCAAAGACCTACATACAGAAATATAAAAACCAAATATGCTAGAGGAAACAACTGGTAAAATTTTTGAAGACATAGGCATAGAAAAGGACTTATTGAATAGAACCTGAATTGTACAAGATAAAACACCAAGAATCAACAAACAGGATTATATCAAATAAAAAAATCTTTTGAACATCAAAGTACACAGCCAACCAGGCAGAGACAGTATACAGAATAGGAAAAAGTTTTGCCAGCTGCTGTGTACTGTTAGAGGGCTAGTATAGAACTCACTCAAAAAAATTTTTTTACCCCCCCCAAAATAAAAGATCGAATTGAAAACGAACAACTAAAATGAACATAAGAAGTACAAATAGCCAATAAATACATGAAAAAATGTTTAGCATCTTTGGACATTAGTGTAATGAAAATCAAAACAATACTGAGATTCCATTTTATTTCACTAAGAATGGTTATTGTCAAAGGCTCAAAAAAAAGCAGTTGCTGTCAAGGCTGTGGGAGAAAAACACTTCTAAATTGTCAGTGGAAATGTAAACTAACTAGTACAATCACTATGGGAGTTAGTATGGAGAGTGTTCAAAAAACTAAAAATAGGAATTGAATTTGACCTGGCTACTACCTCTTCTCCCTGAAAGCATTAAAGGCATATTACATTGATAACATGTATACCCATGATTATAACATCCCACTACATTATGGAAATGGCCTTTGTACCCATCAAAAGAGGAAAGGATAAAGAAAATATGTATGGTATTATATACACAGTGGAGTACTATTCAGCCATAATAGATACATTTGAGTCATTTGTAGGAAGATGATTGGATCTTGAGACCATAATGCTAAATGCAATAAAAGAGACAGAGAAGATTCAATATCCCATGGTACTGTACCAATTAAAGGATTAAAGGAGAAAAAAAAATATTCCATGGCTTCTCTAACATAAGAAACCAAAATATAAACAAAGCAAAATAAGAGAGATAGTAGGAAACAGAGAGGTAGACTCTGTAGAGGTGGTAAGGGCCTCTGGGGAAGGAGAAAATGAAGGGGAGCAAAAATGATTAGGAGATGATAAGTGTACATACCTAGATGATGTAATTATTATGTGTCACAAACATATACTAATAAAAAAGCTGTGTAATTAAAAAATTGACTTACTACATAATTGTTCTTCTGTATTATGACTCTGCTTTCATTTTTCTGTATAAATGTCACAAGAATTTTAAGAGAATAATACCAGTAAGACTTGCCCATATTTTTCTTTTTTAAAAGTGCTGGAATTGGAAGAACCGGGGTTCTTATTACTATGGAAACAGCCATGTGTCTCATTGAATGCAATCAGCCAGTTTATCCACTAGACATCGTAAGAACAATGAGAGATCAACGAGCCATGATGATCCAAACACCTGTAAGTACTGTATTTCATGTACACATGTGTATCCTCAACGTGATGGTTTTTGTTACCATTGTGAATTTTAAATCATTTTTATATTTTTAATTCCTTACCAGGAGCTAGTAACTCTGAGCACAGAGGTCAGCAACCTTTTGCCTATGAGCCAATCTAATCTACCATTTGTTCACACCTTTAGTGGGATCCAGCCATGCTCATCTATGTATAGTCTTGGCTGCTTTCATACTATAAAAGCAGGTGGAGAAATTATAACAGATACTATAACATATGGCTTTCAGTTTCTAAAGTAAATAGTATCTGTCCTTTTATAGAAACATTTTTGCCAACATGCAAGTGGCATAGCATTTATATCTTTTTGTTTTTTGTTTTCTGATAAACCCGGATCGAACTCAGGCCCTTGCACTTGTGAGGCAGGCAGTGGAAAAGCTTTTTATCTTGATGAAGTCCAGTTTACCTATATTTTTCTTTATTACTTGCTTTTTTATGTTATAGCTAAGAAATCATTACTTAGCCCACAAAGATTTACTCCCATGTTTTCTTCTAAGAGTTTTATATTTTTATATCTCATATTAAGGACTGTGATGCGTTTTGAGTTTTTTAATTTTTATAAATATTTTGAGTTAGGATTCCAACTTTGCTCCTTTGCATGCGGCTATCCAGTTGTCCCAACCCTGTTTGTTGAAAAATCTGTTTTTCCCTCCTCAGTTGTTTCAGGTCCCTTTTAAAAATCAGTTAACCAGGGAGGGGAGGAGCGGGTGAAGGGAGGGCAAGGGGGTAAGGGAAAAAAATGAGAATCAAGACTTGTCATGTAAAGGTACAAGATCCCAACAATGAATGTAACTGTACTGTATCCCTAAAATGTACCAATAAACTCAAAGCTGAAAAAAAAAATCAGTTAACCACAAATATAAAATCAGTTAACCACAAATATAAAGGTTTATTTCTGGGCTTTCAGTTCCATTCCATTGATATCTACTCTTAGGCTTATACTACTGAAATGATTAATATGGCTTTATTGTAAAGTTTAAAATCAAAAAATACAAATGTCCAACTTTGTTCTTTTTCAAGATGGTTTTAACTTTTCTGAATCCATTGCATTTCCATATGAACTTTAGAATTGATTTGTTCCGCCTGCAAAAACAGCCAACTAGAATTTTGGGAGGGATTGCATTGAATCTGTAGATCAGTTTGGAAAGTATTGCTTTATTGATGAAACTTTTATCTTCCAAAGTATAACATAGGATGGGCCGGGGATTTAGCTCAGTGGTTCCACCACCTGCTTCACAAGCCCAAGGACCCAAGTTCAATCCCCAGTACCAAAAAAACAAAACAAAACAAAATAAAAAACTATAACATAGGATTGTCTTGTGTATTTAGGTCTTTAATTTCTTTCAGTAGGGTTTTGTAGCTTTTAACATACCAGTCTTATACTTCTTAAGAATTTATTGTTAGATGCTATTGTAAATGGAATTGTTTACTTAATTTCATTTTTGGACTATTCATTGCAAAGAGATAGAGATGCAGTTGATGTTATTTATTGATCATATATCCTACATCCTTGCTTTTATTGTTTTCACTCTAGATGTCCCCCCACCCCCAAGTATCCTGGCTAGAACCTCCAGTACGGTGTTGAATAAAAGTGGTGTATTTTCATTGCTGGGACAAAATATCTGCATAAACAACCGAAAAGAGCCAAGATTTATTTCAGTTCATGGTTTCAGAGGTTCAGTCCACTTTCATCTGGCTCCATTGTTTTAAGCCTGTGGTGAGCCAGAAAATTGTGGATGGGTATGGCAGAGAAAAGCTGTTCACCTCATGGGAGCCAGGAAGCAGAGAGAGAACAAGAGAGCATAAGGTGAAGGGAGGGCAGGGGTAAGGGGAAAAAATGAGAACCAAGACTTGTCATGTAGAGGTACAAGATCCCAACAATGAATGTAACTGTACTGTATTCCTAAAATGTACCAATAAACTCAATTAAAGCTGAAAAAAAAAAAAAAAAAGAATGAAAAAGAAAGAGGAAAGGGCTGAGACGGGATATACCCTTCAAAGCCAAGCCCCTATGGACCTTCTTCCAGATAGGCCCCACCTCTTAGTAGCTCATTCAGCCGTGAACACAATGGATTGAAATTGATAAGGTTAGTGCTCTCCTGACTGAGCCTAGCACCTCTCTAGGTCCACCTCAACATGCTACACTGGGGATCAAGCACTCCATACACGAGTCTTTGCACATGCTTCATATTTAAATCATAGTAAGTAGTGCGGCCAAAACACTTTTCCAGATCTTATCAGGAAGGCTTTTGGTTTTCCACCACTAAATATGTTAACCAAGAGTTTTTGCTGTTTACCAGGTTAAAGAACTTTTTTTCCTCTGTACTAGTTAATGCGTAGTTCATTCCTGAAAAGGTGTTTAATTTTGTCCAAAAAAAATTTTTTTTGGCATCTGAAATCATTATATGGGGGTTTTATTCTTACATTTCTGTGATGCATCATATTTTTGGTGTTTTACATTTTGGGTTGTTAAATTGACCTTGCGAAAGCAAGATAAACATCACCTCAATTTAAAATACAGTTACTTTTATATGTTGCTTTATTTGATTTGCTAAGTTTCTTGAGTATTTTGCTTTTCAATTTCTTTTTCTTTTTCTTTTCTTTCCTTCCTTCTGTCCCTCTTTCCCTCTTTCCTTCTTGTCTCATTTATGTAGTTCAGGCTGGGCTTGAACTCACTCTGTAGCCCAGGCTGACCTCAAACTCACTGAGATCCTCCTGATTCAGCCTGCTGAGTGCTGGGAATTACAGGCATATACCACCATGCCTGGGCACATTCTTTCATAATAGGTTTTTTTTTTTTCTTTTAAACTGTGGTAAAATACACATAATCATAAAATTTACTGCAGTTTTTTTGTTGTTGTTTGACTGCTTTTTGGTTTTTTCAGGGGTGGATAGAACCCAGGGGCTCATGAATGCTAGGTAAGCATTCTACCACTGAGCTGTATCCCTCAGCTCTTCTAGAAATGTTCAATTGTCAGAGCTAGGAAAATATATTTGTGATAAGTTAATACTGATTCTGTGTTTTTACTCAGTGCTTCTGATACTTTTATCTCCTTTAGCAAGAACATTGGCTCTCTTCAGTACCAACAATGAAAGACTTCAAATAGCACAAGTACTCTGTTGTTTTATTTCAAATTCACACCAATAGTTTCAAAATGATAACATTAACAGGACAACAGTGTAACTACCGAAGATAGTTTTTAATTTTTTCACACTGCTTTTTGACCTTTAGATATATCCTACAAGAGAGTGTCATAAAGTCCCTTGCAATAATTCCCCTTTGTATGGTTATGCCATCAACCAGATGTATACTTTTATTTTATATATTCAGTCTTAGAGATATTTTAAATTAATTTTAGCATTAATATAACATACAAAAGTATAAAATAATACATAGTTCTAAAGTAAAAACTAAAGTATGAAAAGTATATTTAGTGAAGTCCAGCCTCATACTCCCTTTTCCCTCCATGTCTTTATAAGAAACCATTTTTAAGGCCAGGATTTAGCTCAGTGGCGCCACTCCTGCCTTGCAGGTGCAAGGGCCTGAGTTCCATCCCTAGTACTGAAAAAAAGGAATCATTTTTAAACTACTTATCTTTCCTTTTCTTTCTTTCTTTCTTTGTTGTTGTTGTTTTAATGGGAGTAGTGGTACACACCTGTAATCTCAGCACTCTGGGAGGCTGAGGCATGAAGTTTGCAAGTTCAAGCCCAATTTAGGTAGCTTAGCAAGAAACTGTCTCAAAATAAAAAAGGGTTGAGAATGTAGGTCAGTGAGAAATCCCTGGGTTCAATCTCTACTACCTCCACCACCCAAAAAAGCTAAGCTGATACAAATATTTATATTTTCCCCTTTATTTTACAAAAATATACTGTTGTACATACTTTATATGCCTTGATTTTTTTACTTAACAAAATATTGATATCTTTCTATAGTAGTCTATACAGAGACCTTTATTCTTTATTCCCTTTTTACTCAGATAGTATTCCATTGTGAAGATACAGATTACTTACCCAGACTTTTACTGATGACAATTTGAACTGTTTGTAACTTTTCTGTTGTAAAAAATAATCAAGTAAATAGCCTCATTTGTGAATATGTGTTTTCAATTTATTTTTCTAGTTTATACTTTGGATATGTTTCTACAAGTGGGATGGCTGTGTGTTAAAAGTAGTAATGTGTAGGGCCAGGATTTAGCTCAGCGGTGGTTCGGTGGCCTGTCTTGCAAGCGCAAGGACCCAAGTTCAATCCCCGCTACCAAAAAATAAAAAATAAAAAAAATCCTAAAAGTAGTAATGTGGCCGGGGATTTTGCTCAGTGGCACTGCACCTTCCTCACAAGTGCAAGGTCCTGAGTTTGATCCCCAGTACCAAAAAAAAAAAAAAGTAATATAATTTGTTAAATATTGTCAAATTCCTCTTCAGAGAGTCTGTAGTATTTTACCGTTCTTACCAGTAATGTATAGGTGAATTTTGTCAATAAAATGTTGTACTTTTAGTTTTGCCACATCTTTTAGTAAAAAATGGTATCTTGATGCTAATTTATTCTGCATTTCCTTTTTAAGCATAAAGCCAAGTGCCAACTAAGATGGGTTTTTTTGCTTTTGTTTGGTTATCTGTGTTCTGATGTTTCTTACCAATTCTGTTTTTTATATTTTATTTTTCAGAGTCAATACAGATTTGTGTGTGAAGCTATTTTGAAAGTTTATGAAGAAGGCTTTGTTAAACCCTTAACACCATCATCAAATAAATAAGAAAACAAAAGTTCTGGGATATGTGTTGGAAAACTGCTTTTCATTATATTCACTATGCCATAACACTGCTCACAGGAAATGGCATCTCAAAAAAAGAGAAAGAAGAAGAAGAACTCACAAAAACTTTTGAAAACTTCAGCACTATTGCACTTTATTGTTTAAAAATGTCACTCTTTCAAAATCTATAATTCATGTGTTTGAAGACTATTTCTTGCTTTGCTCCAAACAAATAGTGAATAACTGAGTATGTTCAGGGTAATTTATGAAATTTTGTGGTGGTGCCATGCAGTACCTTTCCAGTAGAATTGCCACAAACAAGGCTCAGAATTCTTATCCCTGGTGTACACCTGTATCGTAAAGCAAAAAGAAGTAAACATCACAAGTCAGCTCTGGTCTTTTTTGGTGGTTTATGTACTTACTAATACTGATTACCAGATTTTATTTTTTAAATTTTAGCAATATCATTCTCAATATTAGCCAATACACTGCCTATGGATGCAGCACATCTTTCCCTACAACCCCACCCTGCAAGTAGAGACCTGCTATTCAGAAGAAGAAAGGTGGAATTTGTTATTATTCCCAGGAAATGCTGCACATTGTCCATTTACCAGCATCTTATAGAAAGTAAAATATGAATCTACAAATTGTCTTGGATTTAATAATATAACATATTTATCTTAAGGTTGGCTTATTCCAAATCATGTGATTTCACATATTTGATGTAAAGGAATGCATGCATTGTCTTAACCCCTTAAGTGCCTTGAGATGTCATTGTATGTCTAAAGAAAAAGGCACTCATTTGACCCCACTAGGAGGTGTGTATGTATATTGTACATTCTGACATTTTTATGCATTTTTAATAAGTTCACATTTTTTAGAAAAACAGCTTCTTGTATTGAAAGTTATGCAGTGAAAGGAAGGTAAAGAAATTCCATTTCTTACTCAATACTTGTATTTTGCCATAAGAAGCAAAGTTAAAATTGTGTTCTACTGGGTGCATGCACTGCTGCTATGGAATTGTTCAAAATCCACACATTCCTTTACTGAGGGAAGGGGTTATAGTTTAGCAGCTCAGCTTACTCTTCAAGTTTCAGGTTTATTTTATTTCTAACTTTAGAAATAGTGTCTAACATGTATGATACAGATAAATATTGATACGCTAAGCTATAGTTTGAAAACAGTGAAATAGTTGTGACCTATTCCTATCCATAACTAAAGTATTGCTCTTCAGCACTCAGTTAATACCAAACTTTCTCTGCACTGGTCTTTGATTGGGTTCCTTCACACAAGAAATTAAATACTGACTGATTTCTAAGTGTGACCCCTAGATAACAAAAATGAGCATTTTCTTGTTTTGTGTGTGTGTACATTTAAATTACTCTAGCTTACATATACTTAAGTTATAAGCATGTTGGTAAGGAAACTTTTTGATTGTCCAGCCTGACTGAGGATCTGAGTCCCATCAAGGATGTTTTTTGACAGTTTTTTTCTGGTTTTGTTTTTATGTCTAGTGAGACAGAACTCTAAAATTGCCCAGTTTAATAGAAGTGAACATTTGCTTGCCTACTCAAATCATTATGTTACATAATTATTTGATTTTTGTTTGGGGTTTTGTTGTTGTTTTGGTTTCTTTTTTTTTTTTTAAGACAGAGTCTCCCTGTGTAGTTCAGGCTGGCCTTGAACTCACTATATAGCCCAGGCTGGCCTGTCTCAGCCTCCTGAGAGCTGGGATTATAGGCATGTGTCAGCCACAACCTGCTTCTTATATGATTATTTTATATGGATCTGGTTAAAATTGATTAATTTCCTAGTGGTTTCTGAATCTTTCTGTACTATATAGTCTATATAAAAGTTTAGAATCCAGTGGTAGATATTTTGGAATGCCTCTTAGTATGAGAGGGAAAATACAGACTAAAACCTAAATGATGTCATTTCACCTATTAAAAATTCACAATAATAAATTCTAGAAAGTTAAGCTCCTAACATTAACAGCCAAGATACCAAATAAATTGTCATATTAGAATATTTTGTCTTTTTTAAAAGAAAGAAGTAAACATCTTTATGTCAAAGAGAATTTTTCTTACATATCCTGATTTCACACTTATGACACTATAAGATAGAAAATTAACTATAGTCTTATTTTAACATTCCACTGTCTACCAACAGATTAATTTAGGCTGCTATGTAACATTATTACAAACTGAAAAGTGGAAAAAAACATGTTCAGGATTCGAATATTAAATAACTGCTTTGCCAGTTGTTTTGGCCTGAATTAAAAAATAAAATCTGTCAGTTTTAACTGTGTAGACAGAATATGATACCTTAAGTAAAAAGGTACCAGTTGTGTAGACATAAACAGACAGTTGTCTTTAATTTAGAGTTTTGTTTACACTTCTAAGGTTGACTGTAATTATTGGCAATGAGTGCTGCTCCCTTTTTAATCATTAATGCCTATCTTTAAATGATAATGTATTTGAAATATAGAAGTACACTCCAATTTCTCATGTTTGAATTTTCATCTGGGAGGTACTCTCTTATCAGTATTTTCATGTGTGGAAAAAGATCCTTTTATAAAGGCATATTTATTGGGCTCTCACTTAAATTTAAAGTTCATATTATCCTTCAAAGCTTCTTAAAATGAATATGCTAATTAAGCTTCTCTGTTGACCAAATAGATAAACCTTTATCCATTAAACCTAAGAATTTTTTAACTTGCTCACTTATCTAAATAGGTTTCCAGAGATAATGCTAACTTTCATACACCCAGTAGTTCTAAACTCCATCCACAAGGTAATTCTGTGTGATAAAATGCCAAATTTTTTGTATGTAAGCACTCCCCCAACTCTTCTAGCTGCAGCTGCCCCACACATCCATATACTCAAAGTGGAAGTCATTTGTGAATCGGGGGGCTTTTGTAAATGCTAAGAAGTGTTAGTGAAAAACTACTTTCCTCTCTTATTTAGGGTGGTATTTTCATGTTCATTTTAAGCCTTTTATAGAGTATTCCATTTGTATCAGCACTGCGTACATAGGACGAGGAATATTTCAGAATAGGACTTGCATTCTCAAGAATGGTTGTATTTGTTAAACCAGTGCATCCATTTCAAATCAAAGCCAAGTAAACAGCCTAAGAAAATTTCCTATATGTAGCCTGCCAGAACAAGAAAGCAGAAGGGTAAAGTTCTCTAATTCTCAATCTAATGTTCTTTTTATTATACTAGAACTTCAACAGATTGTAGCCTATGTGAATATCAAATTCTTGTAAATTTAAGTTTATTTGAATTTGAGAAATCGCTCAGGCAGTGTTTTGACTTCATAACTATGACAACTTTAGGAGATGTCACATAAGTTAGAAAATAAGTAGGCTTCCGAAGTGATCCTAATTAGGACCCTAACTCAATTTGCTAGTTACTCTTCCCTGACAGAGAACATAAGCTTTTGTTAAGTATTTAGGCTGATACATATGCTGTGGGAAAGCATGCCGGACTGCAAGTGAAGACTTAATTTTTAAAAGCACTTAAAACATAGAAAACTAAGATTTAGAACATATGTCCTCATAATGAAATAATTTCTGTTCATAATGTGAATATTAAGAGAATTAAGCATAACTTCTTTTATAATCTTATCAGGAAGGGAGAAGAAACATGAATTTATAACAATGTGCTATTTAATATCTGTATTTTGAATATTTTATTCTGATGGTAAGGTTGCCAAAGTAGGTTTGAATTTGTAAAAATTATTTATACCACAATGTGGATATGTTTACAGATTCTTTTTATTTTCGCAGTTATTTTATAGTTCAAGTTCATTTGAATTTAAATCACTTATAGTAAATATATTACGGTAAATATTTGTTGGGATAAACATCTAAATAACATGATAAGACATAGACAAATGATGCCACCACCTGCTTTTCTATAAGCTGCCACATCAGTAAAGTAGTACATGTTTTGTTTTAATACTGCTTTCTTCCCACAGTTGTTTCAGCTAGCCACAATTTCTGGAACCATTTGTTGTGGCTTCCTCCAAGTGAAACAGCTATTTTATTCTAATAAATACAGTTACTATAACAAATACTGGAATTAGTGATCTGTGGACAGATATTTATTGTTGTCTCAAAGTGATCACTATACTAGTGGTAGCACCTACTTTATAAAATTGTTAGAGAATTTTATAGATGCAAAGAAATTTATGTAATCCTAAAATATTTTGAGAGCAAACTGCTGCTAATAGATAATTTAGGCAATTTTAACGCCCAAGAAAGATATCCCTAAATCATGTTTTAGGTTCTTTATCACATCATAACTATTATCAACATAATTTCTATTGCATGTAGACTTCATTAATTCTCAGTAGCAATTACGTCTTCTAATATCACAAAAATCCCTGTTTTTGCCAAAAATTAAACACATTATTTTCAGAGTCTTAGTAAATTTGTTTTAAGTAGATAGCAAAACGTTGTTTCTGTTTCCATGTAAACCTTTGCTGCTGTCTTATTTTTGTGTTTTTCTACTGTAAGTATACTGTTGATTCTGTAGTTCTTATTTTGGTCACACAAGCTAACTGGGCAGCTAGAAATAATATCTGCTGGGGTACAGTCCAGCAGCACTGGTTAGACATGGTTCAGTGCATACATAGGTAAACCACCTTTTATGTATATAAGAAAGTTACTAGCAATTTTGCAAGGTAAAGACTGCAATTTTAGGGAATAGTTCAAACATTTAACTTCCTGAAATCTTTTTAAATTTCCAGTACAAGAATGAAAATGTTTGAAAGTCTTGTTAAGTTCATCAAAGTTTCAGTTAAACACTGTAGACTTTTCCTATCTACTGTTCTGTAAATGATAAAGTATTTTTCTATGGACAAAAGATTGAACTGTCAACTTCTTTAATTGCATTGTTTAAAGGGATAAAATGATATTTGTATGTTTTTCATGCTGTTAAGAAAATGAATGTATCTTTCAAATGTTAGAATTATGACTTGATTTTAAGGATACTCTTACTGGTTGAAAATGTGTGCAGAGCATTAGAAAACGGCAGAATAGTACATGTCATTACACGAAATGCAATTTTAAAAGAAATAATTTTTTT